ATAAAAAATAATAAAAACGAAAACGATAGTTTTAAAAAATATATTTAACCACTATTATTAATAATAATATAAATAAAAAATCTTTTTTTTAATATTATTAAAAATATAACGGCCTTTAATAATAAAATAAGTAAAGTATATAAAAACGTTAGTATTATTATTTTATTAAAAAGAACCGTTTATAATAATAAGCTTAGCTTTTTTTTTAATTTTTTTAAAAATAAAAAAAGATTTAAAGCCCTCGGCTTTATAAACGGTAGAATAAACGTAAATAAAAACCTAAAGTTATTAATTAAGAGTTTATAAAACGAATTCTTAAAGATTTATATAAAAATTAATAAGGGGGTTATTAATTAAAAAGCTTATTAAATAAATTATAAATAAATTAATATTAAATAAAATAATAATATATATACGACCGTTTTAAAAGTATTTAATATATTTATTTTTAATATAAAAGGCCTCTTTTATAATAATAAAATATATATAATACGCTTTGGTATTTTTATTAAACTTTATTAAAATAAAATAAAAGATATAAAAAGCGGGATTTAAAATACTAAACTCTTTTTTTATACTTTTTTTTATTATAATAACCTTACCCTTAGCTTTATTTTTAAATATAATTATAAATAAAGCCGTATTAATTTTAAATTTAAATAAAATTTAACCGTTTTAATAAAAGTAATATAGGTATTAATACCCTTTTTTTATTTACGGATTATTTAAATATATTAAAAATAACGTTTTAAAAAGTTTAAAAAAAAAAAACTTATTAAGCTCGGCGGCGGCGGCTTTAATAATATTATTAAAAACGGCCTTATTAATTACTTTTTTAACTTCTTATTTCTTAAATTATTAACGTAAGAGCTTTTTATTTTTAAAGTCGGTAATAAAGGGATTATTAAAGTCTTTCGACTCCTCCTCCTCCTCCACCTCCTCCTCGGGGTCCTTAAAGCCCTCACTAATAAGCTCGTCAGCCTCCTCGTCGGCAGCGGCCTTAACAACGGCCTTAGCAGCGCACTTCTTAATAACGGCGGTATCGGCGGTACGTTTAGCGGTAGCGGCGGCGTAAATAATAGCCTTCTTAACCTTAACAACGTAAACGGCCTTAGCGCGCTCGGTAGCGTTTTTTTTAATAAAGGTAATACCGGTTATTATATATATATATATATATATAAGTTTATATATATATATTTAATTATTATATTATAATTTATTATATTTTAATTTATTAACATTAAAAAAAGGTTACGTAAAGCTAAAAACTAATTTAAAAAATTTATAAAAACGATTTATAAAAAGGTTAAAAAAGAGAAGATATTTAATAAAAAAGCGGGTAATAGAAAAAAAGTATTTTTATTACTTATTAATTTACTTAAATAATAGCTTAATAACCGACCTTACTATAATTTATTTACTAATAAATATATATAATAATAATAATAATACGCTTATATAAATATATTATAATACTATTATTTATAAAGTAATATAAAATTATTATTTTTAACGAATTCCTTTTATTAAACCTATTTTTTTTATTAATTATTTTTATATTTATTTAAAAAAAATATAAAAAAGGATTTATATATATAATTTAGTTACGAATAGCTTTATAATTAAAGGGGTATATTATAAAAAGTCTAGCGTATAGTTACGTATAGCTAAGGTAGTACCTATTTAAATACGCTTATTAATTTATTTTTTAAACGCTTTTAGACGGTATATTTACTTAATTAATTTATAAAATATCTTTTTAAAAAGATAAGTATTTTAGACTATAAGAACTATGTTTCTACGCTCCTAGCCTATAATATACTACTTTTAGTACTAAGTTAAATAATAATAATATTAAAAGTTATTTTTTAAACGATCTTAATTATTTATATCGACTTATCGATATTATATAAAATATAATTAATAATTAGGAAATACATTTTAAATAAGTTTATATTAAAGATAAAGTATTTACGGGCCGGGAGTATATAAATACTCGTTTTAAATACTTAAATAAACTTTTAATAATACTTTCTTTAAAATATTTTATATTAATTAAAAAGTAATACCGGTTAATAAAAAAAGTAATACCGTTTAATAAAAGGCTATTCTTGACCCTTCTTAAAAACTATAGTTTAAATTATATTATTTTAATTAAGCTAAATATCTTATATTATTATAAAATCTATTTTAAAATAGTAAATTTAATTATTTTTAATAAATAAGAAGTATACCCTTAGTAACGTTTTTAAAAAACGTTTTTTTTAAATTTATATTAATAAATTTTTAATTTTAAAATTATTATATCCCTCTATAATAGGCTAAAAAATATAGCGTAGCTTATTTTATTATAATTAGCTTTATTTAAAAAGGGTTAATTAATTAATTAAGCCCGTATTACTTATAACAGCTAAGGCGTAAATAATAAATAACGAGGTCGCTTATTTAAGAATAAAAATAAATCGACGCTAATTAGGCTTATATAAAAGATATATTAATTAAATTAAAATTAAATATTAAACTTATCTTAACGATAAATAAAAAGCTAATTTAGCGTTTTTAATAAGGGGAAGATAATAAGGGATTATATAAATAAATAGCTAATATAGCTTAATATTTAAAAAAAAACGGAGTTAATAAAAAATAGTTTATAATAACGATAAATCTTTATAACTATATCGCAAAAAGTAATTAAATAATAAGCCTTTTTAAATAATATTTATTTAAGATTTATAAAACTATAATATAAATAAGTTATAATATATATTTTTAAAAATCTTAAATAAGAGCTTAAGTTAAACAAAAGGGTAAAAATAGTTATATTAATATAGTTATTTTTACCGCTTTTATAAGGATGTATCGTTTTTTTAAGCTAATTAAGAAGCCGAATAGCGACGCCGGTATATTAATTTATAACGCCGGTATATTAATTCCGTTTTTTAAAAAGTATATTAGTTTATTATTATATTTTTATTATATTTTTATTAAACGCTTTTTATTTAGTTATAAATATTATTAGAAAATTAATTTTTAATAAGTTTTTTTTTTAAAAAGATTTTTATAAAGGTTTTTATATTTATAGTTATTTTATATATATAAGAAATATACGTTATTTTTTTAATTTTTTAATTTATTATATAAACGCTCCCGGTTTTATAATTAAAATATAGTTATAATTTTATATATTAAAATTTAATTTTACTTATTATACTTTTTAATTTCATTAATTATTAATGAAATTAATTTAAAAATAGGTTTTTATATTTATAATAACTCTTTTTTAAAAAGAAGCTTTATAATATAAATATATAATATTAGGCCGTAATTTAATAAATATAAATTTCGTTTTTAATATAAATAATATTAAAAACTAGCTTAGATTTATTTAGTTTTTAAATTATTTTAATTAATATATTAAAACTTTATTTAAATTATATTTATCAAAAATTTAAAAATATTTTATTATAAGCTAATTAATATATTATTTAAAATATTAAAAAGATTTAATATAATATATTTTTATTTCTTTTAATTTATAATAAATAATTAAAATAATAAGTTTTATTAAAAATAATAAAATATTATAAAAATAATATTATAAAAACCGAATTTTAAAATAATATAAATTTTTTTATAAATTTATTTATTTTTTTTATTTTTTTTATTTTTTATTTTATAATATATTATTAATTTAATTTATATATAATATATAAAATCGTTTTATTTTATAAATAAATAATTTAAACTCGTTAATATAATTTAATATTTAATTAATCTTTTTATAAATTAAATAAAACCCTAAAAAAATAGTTATAAATTTCTTTTTAGTTATATTAATATATATATTTAAAATATTATATATTATATTTATTTAATAAACGATAAAATTAATATATTATATTTATTTTTTTATTTTTTAAAATAACTTTTTAAAATTTTTTTTTAATATTTCGAAATTAGTATATTTTAAATAAATAAAAATTAAAAATATTTTTTAAATAATTCTTTTTAAAAAGTTTATTTAATAGTTTTTTCTATTAAATTTAAATTATTAAATTAATTTTAAATAAGACTTATTTAAATTTATATTCTATTAAAGTTTTTAAATAAAAATCGTTTATTTTTTTAATAATTTTAATTTAATTATTTAATTATATTATTATTACGTTTTTATTAAAGAAATAAAAATCAAAATTAAATAGCTTTTTATTTTCTTTATATATATTTTTTAAAATAAATTAAATAGTTATAATTTAAATAATTAATTTATAAAAACTTTTAATTTTCTTTTTATATTGTTATAAATTATAAAATAATAGTATTTAAATATGGGAATTAATATAGAGGCATATAGAATTAATACAGAGGTATATACCTTACAACGGTATACATATCTATTATCTTAATTAATTTAAAATTATAATATATTTTTATAAAAGCGGTAAAAATACTTATAATAACATTTCGATAACTTAATAATTTTAAAACTCTTATTAAATAATATATACCTTAAGTTATTCTTCATAAGGTATTTATAAAGTTTTGAAAAATAACGAAAAAATAAATAAGTAATTATTTTTATTTTAATTATAACGTTAACTTTTAAATATTAAATTATAACGGCTTTTTATTTATATAACCCTTTATTATCTTTCTTTTATTAAAAATATTAAATTAATTTTTTATTTACTATTAAGATTAGTTTAAGGCTTAATTAGAGATTAAATAACCGGCCTTTTATAAACTATTAATTAATAATAATTTATTATAACTTTTTAATAAGCGGCTTTATTTACAGCCGGTCGAGTTTTAATTATTTTATATTATAATAATTTAATATCGAAATTGTTAACCTTATTAAAATAGCATAGCTTTATAAAAACTTATTATATTATATTTTTTAATTTATTATAAAAAAACGTTATAATTTTTAAATTTAAAATCCGATAATAGGGCTTAAAAAAAGACGTTATTTAAAACCGTTATTATAAATAAACCTTTTATTTATTAAAAATTAATAGTTTTATTATTTTTAAAAATTGTTTATAATAATATAAAATAATTAGCTTGACCGATATAAAATAGTTATTATTATACTTTTTTATAAAAAATAAAAACGGCCTTTTTATAAAAAACATTATTTTATATATAAGCCGGTATTATTTAGTAATTAATTTAAAATACTTTAATAAAATTATAGTCCGAAGTTTATTAAAATATTTTAAGCGGGGGCCGAGATAATCCTAGTTAGTAAGTATTTTATATTTTATATAGGCTTAGCAAAAGCATAGCTTTTAATTATTAATTATATTTTATATAACGTCGATAAGCCGATATAAGTAATTAAAACCATTAAAAAAATAGTTTTTAATATTATTATTATTTAATTTAATATTAAAAGTAATATAAATATTAAAATTTTAATATTAATAAATAAAATAATAAGTTTATTTTGTTTTTATAAGTAAGTATATTAAATATAAATATTATAAGATTAGGTATTAATCGTCGAATTTATTATAAAACTTTTTTTATATTTTTTTAAAAACTTATTTTATTTTAATAAAAATAATAAGTATTTATATAATAAATACCCCGTAATAATTATATAAGATAATTTAATTTATTATTATATTAATATAAACGCGGTCTTTTTTATTAAGCTCCGCTATTATTTATATTATTAAATAAAAATCTTTTTTATTAAACTTATTATTATTATTATTATTACCGCCGGCTTTAATCTATTTTTATTTAATTTTAAATATAATATTAAAATTAATATAATAAATATAAAGTTATTATTAAGTATTTAAAAACTCTTTATTAAATATAGCTTTTATTTATTTATTATAGTCTATAATAATAATTATAAAGCGACGAATTAAGTATTACTCGATTAATTATTTTATACTTTTAAAAAGAAATTAAAAGCTTTTTAACTTTTTATTATTAATAAAACTAAATATTATATTATAAATAGATCTAAAATATATTTATTTCATTATTTAAAATAATAAAAATTTAAAGCGATTAATATTATAAGTATTATCGAAGCTAATTACTTTTAAAAATGGCTTTTATATTTAAAAATAATAAAGAAAAGTTTAAATAAACTTAATAAAGCGGTCCGGCTTATTATTAGCTTATTTAATAATATAAGGAATCTATCGTTTATTAAATAATTTAATTAATATAGCCGTTAGTAAATAACTATTTAGCTTTTTTGAATTTAAATATATTTTAATATTATAAATATTATATTAAATAAATATAAAATCCGGGAATTATTTTTATATAATAATACGGACGTTACGTATTTAAATACTAATATAACAGCTTATATTTTTAATAAAATCTTTAATAAACTAAATAAGCTTTTAATATAAAAAGTAAGTAAATATTTTAAAATTTAGTTAATAATTATATTAATTATAATAAAAGTCTAATAAATAACATAAAAGTTATTTCTTTTTTTTTATATTTTTATAATTACTTATTATTAATAACCGTATTTTTAAAACTTTTATTATCGAATACCTACGCTTTTTAAAAAACCGGGTTTATTAAATCGATTATATTAAAACAAGTATTATATAAGCCGACTTATTTAAAAAGTATATTTATATCGCTTTATAATACCGAATCCGTTAGCTTTTATAAATATATTAAATCGATTAAAAAAAGCTTTTATAATAAGCTTTAGGCTATTTAAGATTAATAAATTTAAAATAGCGTTTAAAAAAAAGGATTTTTTAAATTAAATATAATAAAAAGTTATAATTTAAAAGAATAATAGATTTAAAAAAGGGTTTTATTATAAAAATAAATATAAAAGTAATAGGTTTATTTAAAAACTTTACGTTTCTTATTAATAACGGCTTAGCTTATATTATTAAAAAAGGGCGGTTATTAACTTTTTATTAATATTAATAACTTATTAAATAGGCTTAAGAATATTATTAAAATATTTTAAAATACGCTATTAAAGGTCTTAATAACTATTATTAAAAAATAATAAACTCTATTTTAGCAAAATATAAAAAAAAAAATATATTAAGTATTTTATATCTTTTTTAAAAAACGGTATATAAAATAAAATATAAATTTAAAGTGTTTAATATTAAAAAGGGGGGCGTTATAAATAAATAAAAATTAAAATAATATAATAAATTAAAAAAAAGTCGGGTTATTAAAGAAATAGCGTTTTAAATAAAGTTTTAATTCGATTTTAAAATAATAAAACTAATAATAAAATAATAGTCGTGTTTTTTATAATAACTCGGTTAATAAGTCGTTAATTAAATTACTATATAATTAAAAATCATTAACTTTATAAAATTAACTAATATTAAAATAGTTACTAATTAAAAAAAATAATAATATATTTATATATTAATATTTTAAAAAATATATTATATTATTAAAGCTATATTTTATAGCTTAACGGTATAGATTACGCCGGGGTTTAACTATTAAAAACAATGTATATTAATATTAAATATAAAAACTACGATAATAAAAGAAATTTAAAATAAAGAAAATATATAAAAGTAGACCGGTAGAATTTAAATATATTAATAATAAAATTTTAAATTAATTAAGATAGTAAATATATATACTGCTGTAAGGTATATACTTTTATATTAGTTCTATATGCCTTTATATTAATTCCCTTAAATATTTATATTTATTTATTTAAAAAATAAAAATATATTTTTATTATTTTATTAATTATTATGTTTATTAATTTTAATTATAGAAATGTTTTATTTTGTATTAATTATATTAGTTTATAAAAAATTAAAATTATAATATATAATTAAATATTAAAATTTAAAAATATATAAAAACAAATATATTATAATTTTAAATATTAAATTTAAAAATATAAAAAATTATTAATAGTTTTTTAAAATTTAATTTAATTTGATAGGGCTAAAAATTTTTTAAATTATTATTATTTAAATGTAAAATAGCTAAGTTAATATAGCACGTAGTAGCGGTATTTTTATATTAATTAAAAAATATAAATATTTCTTTTTTATTTTATTAATTATTATATTTATTAGTTTTAAATTATATAAATATTTTTTTATTTTTTATTAATTATATTAGTTTATAAAAAATTAAAAATTAAAATAATATAATTAAATATCTAATTTAAAAAAATATAAAAATAAATCTATTATAATTTTAAAACTTGAATTTAAAAATCTATAAAATTATTATCGGTTTTTTAAATTTTATTTTAATTTAATAATATTAAAAATTCGCTAAATTATTATTATTTAAACGTAAAATAATTAAGTTAATATAACGTACGGTAATGGTATTCTTATATTAATAATAATATATTTATATTCTTCATTGTTTTAAAATTATATTGATATTAATTACGTAATAAAGTTTTAAACTTATTATTTATATATAGCTATTATAATAATACAATTATTAATATTAATATTATATATTTAAAAAGTTATATATAATTGAAATTAATAATAATACTTTAATATAAATTAATTTAAAATAAAAGAGCTATAAATTAATATATTAATAATATAAATTTAATTAATTTCATTCATATTTATATAATATAATAATAAAAATAAGCGGTTTAACAAAAAGCTATTTAAAAAGCTTTTAAAACGAGCGTTAAAATAAAACTTAAGAAAATATAAATCTTTTAAACTAGCTTTTATAAGCCTTATAAGCTTTATTAAAGCTATTTTTTAAAGGAAATTGATACACGGGCATGAATAATTAATACACGGGCATGACTCTTACACGGGCATGATAGCTATACACTATTATTAGCCCAAAAAAGCTATTGCCCTATTTTAATTCTACCGAGCCTATTTAAAATATTTAAGAATTTTTTTAATATATAATCGCGACGCGTCGTCTATATTAACTAATCGAGGCTCTATTATTATATTATTTATATTAAAATCCTTTATATTTAAGTCCGCCCTTCCGTTATTAAAGTATAACCCGCTACGTCGAGTTAAAAACTTAAGTTTAAATAATAAGCTTAATTTAAAACGGTGACATAATAAGTATTTTTTTATTTCGCAACTTTTTACCACTAATAGTTTAAATATAAATATTAATAATTATTATAGCTTTAATAATAATAATATATTTAAAAATATTTTTATTTCTTATTTAAACCGGTTTTATTAAATTATTTGATTTTATAATTTGCGTAGGAACGACGCAGTACTTATTAAAATATAAAATAATTACGAAATTTTTTTTTATAAGATATTTCCGACGATAATTATTTAGACTTATTAAGTTATTATATTAATATTTAGTTTAGAATATAGTCTATTTTTATCATATTTTATTTTTGAGTTTATTTTATAAGACGAGGAGTATCGACTTATATAAATTATTTTTATAAAAAAATTTAAATTTATATTACGTTTAGTTAAGGAAGTAATAAAAGAAGGGTAATAGTTAATTAAAAAACTTTTTAATTCTTTCGAACAAGTTTGATAATAACGACGGAGATAAGGTTATTTATTATACTTATTTAATATATTTATTTTATTACCTTTACTTTTATATTCCCTTTTTTATTATTTAAAGTATCTTTTTACCGATTTTTAAATAAACTTAATAATTTTATTACTATAAAATTCTTATTCCTTAAGTTAACGCTCGTCTTCGCTTTTATTTAATTTAATCTTAAACTTATAAATTCCTAATAACCTAAAGCTTATAATCGACGCCCTATTTAATTAAATTAACGTATTTATTAAAAAAAACGGGTTTAATATTATTCATTAATATAAATATATATATAAAAATAAAAAAATAAAATATATATTTTAATATAATCGTTTTAATAAACTACGGCTTATTAAAAATACGGGGTTACGCTAATAAAAATCATAAAAATATAATTATAAATAAATAATTATTATTAAGATAAAAAAAAAGGGCGTTTAGTTTTTATAATAGTATATTAAAACCGAGTATATTTAATATAACTACGGGTTAAGTTTTAATTCTTTAATATATCTTTTATATTAGAAGTTTATATTATTAATTAAAAACGTTATTAAAGCTATTAGCCGCCGGGTTAATATTAAAGCTTACGATATTTATATTATCGTTTAAAAATAATTTTTAAATTTTATATTTACTTAATAGGATATTTATAATATTAAAGCCTTTATAAATAAAAAGAAATTAAATAGCTATTCGTTAATAGCCGTTTTAATAAAGCTTTTCGATAAGCGAAAGGTATTTTATATTATAAAATAAGTTAATAACGAGCCTAACCGGCTTATTAGCTTAATATAAATATTCTTATTTTATTTTTTAATATAGAGGCGTTTCCTAAAAGTAATTAGCTTTAATAATATATATAATACGAATCGCTTTAAACTTCTACTATTTTAAACTATTAATTAAATATATATTAAATCTATTTTTAATATAATATTCGGTTTTATTAATAACGAGAGATTAAAAAAGTTTCGGTTTTTTACGGAAAATATCCGTTAATTAATTAATTAGTATTCGATTCGTTTACTAAATATTATTATTACCGACTATAATAAGTAAATAAAGGCCGCTTTAGTTTACGAATTCGCCGACGTATAGTAATAACTCTATATTTATTATATTAATTTTAATATTATATTTAAAGTTAAATAAAAATAAATAAAAAGAAAACGGTTAAAAAATATCGGTAGTAGCTTAGATTACGAAAACGATATTAAGCCTTTAAGAATATTAATAACGGAATTAAGCGACGAGGACTAAGCATATATCTATATACTTATTAATAATTTAATCCCCTATACATATTATAAAATCTTTATAATATAAAAGCTCGTTATTTTTATTAAGACCGAAGTTATTTTTAAAAAAGTATAAAATAGTTTTTATAAAGAGTTCGATAATTAATAGTTAATATTACGTTATTTTTATAGGATATACTTTCTTATTAAAATTTAATAAGCTCGCTATTATATCCGAAAATATTAAAATTTTAATATTCGCGTTATTTTAAAAACCGAATTTAATAATAATAATATTAAAAGCTATTTCTTTAATAATTTAAATTACTTATACCGATTCGTTAATATTATATAAAATATAATTTAAAATTAAGAGTTACGGTTTATATAGTCTTATATAAAAGATAAGGTATTAATTACCCGTCAATATACTAAAGCTAATTTAGAATACCTAAATAAATTTTAAAATATACTTTTTTTAAAATATTTAAAATTAATTATAAAGTAATATTAAATAGTAAAAACAATATTACCGACCGGTAATTATCTACGGCCCCTTTTTATTAAAGATTATATAAACGACTATTTTATTTCGATATAATTAAGTATTTTTTATTACTATATAATTTATATAAGGCTTATAACCGGGATATTTTTTATAAAATAAGACGTTTATTTTTATTAAAAACTAAAGGAAACGTTTTTAAAAGATTTATATCGTCGGATTTTAGATTTTAAAATTATTATATCCTTTTGTAATAAGCTAAGGAACTTAATATAGCCTATTTTTAGTCGATTAGCCGTATAAAAGGATAATAATTTAAAAGCTTAATATAGAAAAACGCTATTAATAACTTTTAAAATAATTTAATAAGGCCGTCCGTTAAGAAGCCGTAATAAAGCGATTATCGTAAGGCTTATATAAAAAGAAGGGTAATAAAAAAGTAGCTAATTTATAGCCTTATTATAGTTTTAAATTAAAAGTTAGTTTAATAAATTTAATATAAGGAAATTTATAAGAGTACGAGCTAATAGATAGGTATTATAAACGAGTATTTAAAAGAGGAGGTGTAAATAGGAGATATTAATTAATAATAATAATAAAGCCGTCCTTTAACGGACGTAATTATTTAAATAGGGCTTTAGTAAAATTTAATATTAATTCGCTATTTATTATATATTATAATAAAGGGATATAGAAAGTATAGAAATTAAAGATAAATATAATATAATCTAATATAAAATAATTTAAATAAATACGTTAAAATAAGAAAATGTTAATAAGGGAGCTTTCACCGCTTTTAGGACGAAGTATTTATAGTCTGTGTATTTTTTTAGGCTAATGATAGTGTGTAGCTGTTATGCCCGTGTAAGAGTCATGCCCGTGTATTAATTGTTCATGCCCGTGTATCAATTCCCTTTTTAAAAGGTTAAATTTTTAATATAATATATACGCGTTAATTTAATATTATTTATTTTACTATAGAACTTCTTACCTTCCGATATATTACCTTAATATGGTAAACGGCCCACTATAAATAGCGGTAATGTGAGCTTAAACTGGTGTGTAAAACCCGTGGCACACACCACATAGCAACGGGTCCACCTCCTTACCTCTGCACAGCGGCATGGACTAGAACGTAGATGCAGTGCTTACGTACGATGTGCCGGAGCTTTTGAATTATTACACGTGTAGTCTTGCACTGGCTCGAGGGCCGAGCGCCGCTCTCTGACTCCACCTGACGCAGGCAGACCTGGACGCCCGCAAGCTAGGACCCTGGTCTCCCCGCAATCCGCGGCGGTGGAGCAGAATGTCTCCTTACCCCGCGGGCACTTCGTCAGCTAGGAAGGTTTGGCTGGCACAACGATAACTGGCTGCGAAGTGAATTGCCACATTAATTTACAAAGTCATTGTGCCTCATTGTGTCACACTGAGCCGGGTTGGAGATTTCTCAGCCCTCGCAATGTTAACAGATCTTGCTAAATGAACCATGCAGCGGCCACCTATAAGCCCCCGAGAATTGTTGCTTACCCGCGAATCATGTCTTGCCTCATACTTTCATGCTGTTTCTTAATGTTTCTAATAACGGACATAGAGGCGCTTGTCTTCAACGCCCGGAACCTTAAATGGAGCCAGAGAAAACCGTCGCTATGGCGGCTACACGCGGGATCAATGTCTGTCAACATCAGATGATGTTTGATGAAGAGACAGACGCGAAACTCTGAACAGAACTTGATCTTGTGACCAAATGCCCCGCCACCTGCTCTTTTATTTCTTCCGCCTCCATCCCAGGTGATATAGCAAAGGTGGCATTCGTTGTTCTTCAAGCTCCATCCAACCCACTTCAACTGCAGCTTTAAAATTCGGGTTTCACAAGTACCTCGAAATACCGTCGTAAGTAAACAAGTATCTCGATAAGCCGTTGTAATCTTCCTTCTTAAGCTCCATCGACTGCTGACTGATTCACTCTCAGAATTCTTTCGTAAAAAGCCCTGCTAGAAGACGATTATCACGTTCATTCGAACTCGAACTACAATATGTCAGAAAGCCCTACTACTGCTTCACGAAACCAAAGAGATCCTGGTAGTCCAACTATCACGGGCATCCCCTCCATCCTCACAGTTCTTCGCGAGCCTGAGTCTTTCTCCACTATAGACGACCGGCGAGGGCAACAGTACCGACAACAATCCCCGGAGACTGCCTCCAAGTTGGCGCGTGAGACCCTCATTAGCATGTGTAAGACCATTGGTCTGGTCGGCGCGCAGCTCAACAATGGAACAAATGATTCCGATTTCCAGCTAAGGCAGCTTATCCACTTGGCACGCAACATAACTAAGCGGCTTGACAATCCTGAACCAAACGGGCAAAACGGACATGCCGGCCCTCCTCGCATGGATTAGTTAAGGAACAACGTGGGCGTTGGAAACCAACCAAATTGTTCACTTGAATACTTGGATGGGTGGTATACTTGGAGAATCACGGCGTTGATGGGAGGCTTGTTCGGAATAAAAGCCAGTTGTCGGGTAGGACACTCTCCGGCCGGGTGGAAACATACAATAGCATGAAGCCCGAAAACGAAATCCCAAATATTTTTCGGCGGTTTCCTCCCATATCAACACACTTGACAATCTCTTGAGTCCCAACTAAAAGTGACTGAATCTCCTTAGATTCATTCTAGGCCATTGTATGTCATCAGGTCTCAAGATGCCAGTGAACACCCGCCCCTGGGTAATTGGCTATTAGGTAAACTCGGTGGAGGGCAATCCTCCCTTTTCGTTCTTTGTTACATCAAAATGAAGTATAGAAGCTACCAGGCTATACCCACATCACGCTCTGACTTACGATGATTGAAGTTCCTTTATCCCTCTTTCTCATACTGTGGTTGTCCCACCTGTTTCTAACTTTCTTCGCCTTGAACTCAAGGCCCGAGTACTTGTATGTTTACTCAACCCCCATGTTCTTCCATGACTTTGCTTCATTCAGCTTCGTGCTTGCCAATCCAATACTTAGTTGGTCGCAGCAAGGGAAACCATCGTTTCATGATACTAGCAACAGCAACATCTCGTCTCCCAAGTCCTCGACTTTAATAGAAGCGTGGCCCCTTCGCCATCCCCGATAGCTTACGTGGCGCCTAGTTAGTCCGTGGAGCAGGATAGTTGAATGAGCTGTATCGCCGATAGACGCAGCGCTACCAAGCGCATAAATTGGAAAAGGTTAGTGGTCTCGTCATTCTCATACATTGATGTCTTCTATATAGTTAATATTTCCTTCACTTATATTCTGGTAGTTTTGATTTTCAACACAGTATCGCCAATTTTTGAAGTGACTGGATGAAGTCTTAGCCTTCAAAAAGTATCCCTCAGAAATTCTTATCAGTTGATCTAAGATTTCTTATGAAACCCATGATTTGAAGCTCTCCTTCAAAAATACGATGTGGAAGGGCGTGCCTGAATGAAGTTTGCAAAGTTGTAGTCACGGCAGAGGAACGTCATTGCTTTGCTTTTTGTGCCATCTTCAGATCTTGTTATGGAAAGGTATCAAAATATTGCAGCAAAGGATCACCCACTCCGGGAATCATTCTGCAGTTTTCTTCGTATTTTCTAGTGATACTATAAATCGCACCAGGCCTCTGTCCTGTTGGAATATCCAGATGCGTATCTGTCGCTCCCAGTAGTCTTTCCCTTGACCTTCGTGTGGATTCCGGCGACAAATTGAGTCAACATCGTACTGCAAAGAAATGACGCAAGGCGTGCTCGCTTACCTACGATGGCGTTTGAAGATAATTCTCTACCGTTCTTCAGCATCATCATCTCAACCTCTGATTTCAAGTGGGCTTACAGGGATTCTACTCAAAAATTTCTCAGTCTTTGAATTATAAGCCTTTAACCTTTGAATGGCAACAGCCCGAGTCTACTAGCTGTCCAACCCGAGAGCTAGAAGAATCTTCACGGTATCGGAGTCCAGGGGGATGCCCTGTACTCCCATGACCTACGTGCCGTAGCTTCGCTCCACGATTTTCATATGGCGTGTATTACGGTATCCTCCTCGGATATGAGGCGTTAATTGCTGTCCGCGACAATGGGCGACGTTTTTGTGGCACATGGAGAATAACAGGGGCGACCCTATCACGCGTCAAATGACATTCATTCAACCTATGGCACAATTACCTCAGCGAAGTGTGGTCGAATTGTTACTCCATAATTACATTCCATTGTGGCATCATCCAAGTCTCGTCAAAGACATAGTTGACTTCTGGATTGCTAAATTTGTGGGAGAGTCTTTCTGGTTCCAAATTTCAAGATGCTTGCCCTGAGCTGTCACTCCGCTCCGAAGGGCAAACCGGCGTTGTAACATCTTGATTTGGCTCAAGTGAGTTGCAGACGAGTCTTTCAAGTGATCTAGGTTTAGGGTGAAACTTGACCTGGCAGTACCTTACGCAAAACACTCTGTATGGCCGTAATAGCCAAAGTCTTAGATCTCGTCACTTGCAATGATTCAAAGAGCCAATCACTACCAGTGGAACTAATTGTCAGAGTCGCCGAGGCCTTGTCTATTCGTTGGCACTCAAGCTTGTTTTCCGGGATACCTACCCCGAGGGCTTCAGCCGACGGAATACATGGACCACCATCTCCCTCCTTGATATTGTGACCTCTGTGAACTTAGGCCTACTGCCTCTTATCCGAGTCGGTGATCATGACACCCTTTATAGCAATGAAAATACGGCTTCGGCGGCCTCGATTCCTTCGTCCAACAAACAGGGTTACGGAGGATCTAACATAAAACGTGTACGAGCCTCTGAATTCCGACTTATCTTGTCCAAAGCTTTACCATTGGCGTCGTCTATTATCGGCGTGGCCAACTCAATCTAGTCGTGTATGAAGTAGACACAGTTGAAGAGACGAGCAAGAAAATGCAAGACATCTTGAACAAGTCCCTGAAGCCTTTTATCGGCGATAATCTGGATTCTTTTACCACCAACGTCATGACATGTGCTTCAAAAGACCTTATCAGACATCTTCATACGTCGTAAACTGCCAATTTCCCAAGAGCCATTCATCAGGGACTGTCAGGTCTCCTCCAATGACAAGGCACCACCGTTAGTCGCCATGGATAGTTCTCTTGCTTTGGTACTACGACAAACCAGCTTGAATAAGGCAGCTACCCTTGAAATCCAGTGAGATGGCTTCCCAATGTTTTCAATTAAGACTCTGACTGATATCGTCATGCTCTATATAGCTAAGCAATTCGACAAAACGATTGCGACACAGACGCGCACTTATTACGTCAAATTTGCCCTTGAGAAATTGCCTGGACTGCTCTCAGAAAATCAATTGAGATGCTAGAAACTCACGCTGACGACCCGGTAAGTCATTTCCGTATCTAAATGGGAGATGTTGACGTTGTTGGGACCCTCGAATCATTACAGTCTAGTCTTGACATGTTGGAGAAGTTGCTTGAGGCAGGGCAGACCATAGTCTCGGTAATGCATAAGAAGCAAGAAGGACCCGTTACTCAATCAAGACTTGGATCAGATGGTTAACAATTCGTTTCAGTCTCCGTTACCGGGCAACATTGATTCTTCAGCACGAATGGGAGTTTAGTCAACTTGGGTGGATTGAAGGAGAGACAGACTTCCTGTGCCAAGATAGCTATGCGGGACATCATCATCACATGCAGATATCACGTTCAAACTATATGCAATCTGTGATCTTTCATTTGGCAATGCAGACATGGGTTCGCCGAGGTTGCTTGCATATGGGACATGCACGCGGCCGCGAGATTCAAGTTGCCACAAATGTATCCGTCAAAGCGGGCTTCAGCTGAGAAACACAGACTATTCGTGGAATGGAAATGGGATTTGTGCATTATGCCGGAACTAAAGAAGTGAGGCGAAAAGTCAAAGCATAAGGTAAGTAAGAAACGAGAAGGCTGTCTAAGCTCGAAACTCTGCCGAGCGCTAGGGTATTCGTCCGTCAGCCCAATAGTTTTTCCCAGCACTGAAGTTTATCTACGGACGAAACGAATGTAGAAACAAAACGCCTTTTCCAATGTGGAAGGAAACGATGAGGAACCCTGCATTATCGATCATTTGTGGCCGCTGTCATGGTTTGAAACTACTTCGTGGCAGGGAGCCAGAGGCAGAAGAGGTTTCCGAGTCCCTCCGCCACTCAAGGCATTGGTGGAGGCCCGCCGCTTTGGAAGACTTCATTTTGCCGACGATCCCAGTAATTCGAGCATAAAAGAATGCGAGTCAGGAGTAATCTACTTCTGGTTCGTAACATGGTTTCAATGACACGGACGCAGCAGTATGTTTACCCAAAGCAGTTTAGAGCGAACTGACCCAAACAGCTTCAATCATTCCCTCCCGGCCTGTCTCGTTAATGTCTCCACTAGTTCACTTGCAGTTCCCTTATCTATATTATTTTGGGGGGTAGGCAAAAGCCATAACTGTGCATTGGGCGTATTGTGCTCATACAACCTGCTGAATGTTGGGCGTGACCTTGGCTGCTTGGCACAAAACCATGTTGGCGATGAACTGCACAAACTAACAAAACCGGGAGTATGCCGGCTTGACCGGACTACAATGCCAGTTTCTTGTCCGCTGCTTCGAGACTAGATCGCATTACATGTCATTTCATGCTTATTGCGTTCAAATGGCCCGATAAACATTGGACTTGGTTGACAGAAGACACGTCACACAGGCATGGCATGTTGGTCTTTGGCCAGAGCTTGGATGGACAACATGCTGAGATAGCTTTGTAACCACCATGTCGAGGACACCTCAGCATCCCATAGCAAGGAAAGAGAAGAGCCTGGCCAATGAAGATTCTTTAAAACCCCTCAGACGCTGAGGAGATTTACAACTGGCGGATGAGCTGCAGAACTCCTAGGGGTTCGGAGCCGTTTTTCTTTCAAGAAAACCCCGTGGGGGAAGTTACCAAGCCAAAATCCGAATTATTACTGGAATCTATATGTCCGGCTCTTTTGCAGCAGGCTGCTTCGTTGAGAGTTTACTGCTGTCGTGGGATCGGAAAGTTCTGTCGGCGTCTATCAAGCAATATGTCAGGTGTTCTCTTGAGTTGAGTTTTCCTCTTTCATCCATGAACTAAGCCGTCTCTGTGCAAAATGGTGTGCGGCATGACCAAGCTGCGGCATGCACCTCAAGATGACGGTGGTTATCGCAGTAGTTGGGGGAAACCGGTGGGGAAGCCTGCGAAGTTTTGACTGACAGCTGACGTTTTACCCTATGGCAACCAAAATGTAGCGTTGCGGCATCAATCAGCGAGCGTTGACTTTGCGAGCTTAGCCTCCTCTCAATTACAATTTTTTTTTTTCGACTTGAGGATTTTACTCTCTGGCCCCTCAGCCAAGTGAGGCTGTGAGAGCGTGAGTGAAAGTTAGGCTGAGGATTAAAAACAGAGGATCACTTGTGTTTGCGCCAGGTCTCGTGAATCTCGAAGATACGTCCCCAACTCTTGACCATGGCTTGCTACGGGCATGAAAGAGCATGAAGTCGTTTGAATCAACTGAAGAAAAATGGAGCTGAAACTGTTCAGTGAGTTTTGAAGCGACGCAGTAAGCATCCCAGACCCGCCAACGGCTTTTCGAGAGGATGGGACTGGAAGACAAGGAAGAGCCAGGTTAGCTGCCCTGCTTCAGTCACTAGCTCTGGAGATCACAAACAAACACAAACTTCAGACGGTCCTCTTTGGAGAGTTCGTTCATGGTTGCCTCGACATTTCCGCCAGCCGCCTCCTGGCCCTCACGAGCCACATATATCAGGGTGGGCGGCGGTGCCAACAACCGGTCTCCGCCACCGGACTGTGCATCCAAACACTCGCCTCATTGGCCATAGCCTCTACAGAAATTGCCTTTTGTGGACGTAGATAGCATGATAGACTTTCGAGCAATAGGAACTGCTCATGCTAGACATCTTCCAGAAACGAACTGTTGGAGACAGGGCACCAGAATGATGCGATCCCTTGGGGAAAGCCAAGAATGGTAGGTAGAGTGGAAAGAAGCGGCCCATGGTCCTCAGAATATGAACACAACTGACTACTTAAAGGAGAACCTCCTCGACCTATGTGTCCCGAATTTCCTTCCTATTTATCATCATCACTCATATTTCATCTTTATTCCGGTACACCATCAGTCACCTGCTTTCACGACCACATACCACTAATCCTTAATACTATATTAAGAAATACTTGAAGAACTTTGGCTTTCCGCCAACTTTCCCTGCTGCACAATGCATTTCTCCAAATCTCTAATCATCATGGTCGCGGCGACCATGGGTGCGAATGGCGCGCCATCCAGCATGGGCTCCCGTGAGCAAAGGTATGCGGCCCTAGTAAATTTTTCGACCTGAGAGAGCAAGCTAATATGCCACAGCGCTCTAAGCCAGCCCGTTGTCGTCGCCCGACAGGCCCCTCCAGCTGTTCCGGCTGCAGCCCCCCCTGCCTCTGTTCCTGTTCCTGGGCAACAGGCAGATGGTGACAAGAATGGAGGCGACAAGAAGAAGGGGGGTGGCGACGGAGATCGCAACGATGGTGATCGTGGTGGACGTGACGGAGATCGCAATGGTGGTGATCGAGATGGTCGTGATGGAGATCGCGGCGGCGACCGAGACTGCCGCGAGGAAGATCGTGGACGCGACAGAGATGGAAGATCGTGTTGTGTCCGAGGAGGGCGCGGAGGAGGGCGCGATGGCGATCGTGATGGTGAACGCAAGGTTGCTCGCCAGGATCGCAACGGAGACCGCGATGGAGAACGCGGTGGAGACCGCGATGGTGATCGGAACGGCGGTGATCGGGGTGGCCGAGGCGGTGACCGCGATGGTGACCGCGAGTGCTTCCGTGACGGCGATCGCGGCGGCCGCGGTGGTGATGGCGAGAGACGCCCTCCTCCTCCCCCGGCCGCTCCTCCGGGCTTCCCCGCCCCATTCCCCGCGCCGCTTCAGCCCCGGCCTGGATTTCCCGGTGCGCCTGGCGCCTATCCTCCTGGATTCCCTGGCGCGTTCCCCCCCGGCCCTCCTCGTGACCCCGACGGAGACCGCGATGAGGACAAGAAGAAGCCTACTGAGGACAAGAAGCCTGCGTCGGTATAAACCATTGGGCCGATCGTGTACGCTTTAGAATTTGGTTTGAGTCTTGGAGGAGGATATAGGTGGCACATACACTTGGCTTTACTGATTGAATGCATGCTCAACGCACGAGAGCCTTCTCAGTGAACTTAGAGAGACTGTGGACCAAGAATTTAGTTAATTTGTAACTGCTCCGCATGAAATACAATGCTTCACTCGTTGGAAAAAATATAAGATCTATCCAGTCAGTAACTACAATCACTGACCAAATTCTTGAGCAGGTAAGAACCCGGCCACGAGATGTGTAGAGGCTCGGGGATGGCGTCAAATCCATCGAACATAGCGCGCCCAGTCTCGAGGCTATGAACAAATGGTAGCCGGTAATGCCAGATGAGGCCCTAGCCACCTCCCGAGAGGGCAACGTAAAAACCCATTTCTTTGACACGCAGGGAATAAGCATTCATCTCGACAGCTAGACCAAGAGTCAGCAAGTGGTATTATGTGGAAAAAAGGTCTAGAAGAAAGGACGGGGTCTTATTTGGAATGAGTCTCACACTCTCCCATCACAATGATGATGATCTTCTGGGACGCAAAGTATGTACATACATGCCCTCTTGTATACACGGGCCAATACTGTCAACAGGAACGCAGATATAACGAGCCTCTGCTATTGTCAATTCCTCCAGTCCTTGGAGATTCTAGACAGAAGGCCAGCCGCTGGACCAAGAGATGACGTTCCAGCCAAAAAGAGTCTGGGAATCGGCAAAGCCAATGTCGGTGTTCACTACGATCGTTAGACTTGATACGCGCCAAAGCCAGCAATGGCAACTCACTGTAGTGGTAGTAGAGGACGGCACCGCGCTTGGAATCAACCAAGACACCCTGGCCACCGGGAGCATATATCTTGTCGTGAGAGGGGAGAAGAAGAGTACCGCCGCCCGCCAGGCAGCTCTTGCCGCTCTTGTCGGTGTAAGGGCCATTCACAGAAGAGGCGCGGCAGACAAAAATTTTGTATTCATTCCCGCTGGTCGGGCGGTTTGCGTCGAGTCCGCAGCAGGAGCCCGAGCTGAAGAAGGCCCAGAAAGTACCACTGCGCTCAAAGACGAAAGCACCCTCGACGGGCTGAGGAGCGGTGGTGTTCAAAATGATATTGTACGGGTTACCATTGGTCTTGGTCGCGGCCGCGTTGAGAGGCACCTGGAAGATGTTCTGCCAAAAGGAGCCGAAGTTCAGGAAGTAGTTGCTGCCGGACTTGACGAGCTGAGCATCGATGGCGTTGTAACGGCTACCGGCCGAAGAAGCCACACCGATGGCGCCGTGGTCAGTCCAGGAGCCGAACTCCATGGTGGTGGAGGTAGCATAACCAATGGCCGAGTTCTGGACGCCGAAGGAGGAGACGGTATAATAGAGAATGTACTGATCGCCAACCTTGTTCACATCGGGGGCCTGTGAACGACATGACCGTGAGTATGTGCTTCGAGAAGCGGATGTCTCGTCCAGCCTCGTTTGAGGACTGGATCCTTTGAACGGAACATCGAGGAAGTAGAAGAAAAAGAAGAAGAAGAAGAAGAAGAAAAGGCTGAAGCGTGACATACCCAGAGATCATCATTGCCCTTGAGGTTGATGTTGCTACCCAAGGGTAGAGCAGCGCCTTGGTAGGTCCAGGGCCCAACCAAATCGGGAGCCTTCCAGATGCCGATCTTACCGCCAGTTTCGAAACGAAAGAATTGACCGTCATTGCGACGCACGACGGAAGGGTCGTGACTCCGGCACTGACCAGAGCAGGTTCCCGGGTTACCGTAGCCCCGGACGATGGCGCTCAGCAGCGCAGCTGCGAGAGACACGATGGAACCGAAGCGCATGATGACGAAGAAAACTCGCCGAGAGAAGCAGCAAAACAGTTGGTACTATGTAGTGCTAGAAGGGAGTGACTAGCAACGAGGCAAATGGGAGGCTCTCACGAGAGTGGTATGAGCTCGAAGCATGCAAAAGAATGTTGAAATTGGACGGGAACCGACCTACTACCACGTCTGGAAAGAACCGAGATCTCGTTGACCGAACTCTATCACGGAAGCTACCAGGTCGTCGGAGGAGTTTAAATGGCCATGAGCAATAACGCGCCATTGGCACTGATTGGCAGATTTGAAGGTCGACGACTGGGATAGGCCCTGGCGCCGCGATGATGGGAAGACGGGCAATATACATGGAGCAGAGGCTAGGGAGGACTCAATCAATGAGATGAAAGGCTGGTTCAAGTGGTGCCGTCGACCGATCTTGCACGCTACACATGCCTGTACGGCTGGGCGCTCGGCGCTGCGCGTGTTCCGTACGGATACTGGAGATGGGTAAATAATAAGCAATGAAGGATGGGCAATGGAAATGGATGTCTGGGCCAAGGCGATCTAGGCGAGCGAGGAACTGCTGTGTATGCCGCCGTCTGTGGGGAGGGACAACACAGAGTTCAGATAAGCAGAAACCTTGTTCTCTGTAGAATGAAAAGAGAGTGGGCAGAACGGGCCGGCCGGATAGAGGAAAATAAGACGAAACCTGACCATCCGAATGGTGCGCATGAGATGATGAGACTTAAAGGGCGGACTCGACGAGGAACTTTGGAGTCAAGGAAGGAAAAGTTGGGGCTGTTGGGTACGGGCCGTATGCAGCCTGCAACTCTTTGCATGAGAAGGGCGTCGTCACGATGGCATTCGCGCCAACTGTTCCTCCAGATTCTTTGTGTCCAGGCGAGCGAACCACTACCCTTTACGCAAGGTTTTGCAGACACTCTCATCAACGCTGCCTGTGCCGACGCGATCTTGCACCGTCCGGGGACGGTCATCGGCGCATTCTACAGCTCGTCTGTATAGTATAGACTGTAAGTGCGGATAGACATGCAATACTTACTGCATGCGCTTGAACCAAATGAGGAGAAAAGCGGACAGTGGGAATTAGACGGGTTGGACTCCGGCGTGTTGAGACTCCTCCAAGAGTCCTCATATGTTCTTTGAGGGGCATGTTGTCGGAAGCCCTCTGGCCCTTGTCTGCTTGCAGGGAAGAGACGGAATTCGCTATGGTCAAACAACTGAGTGAGAAGGAAACACGGGAGATCTGCCCGCCATGGTGGCATCGCACCTGGAGCCGGAGAGGGTCCGAAGCGATCGGTTCGGGGAAAAAAAGGGGCTGGCTGGATCGTGGCCACGTCTCCCGGCTTAGTTCGCCTACCTCTCTTATTTATTTTCTTAATATTTCACGTTCCCTCTTCATCCTTAGTCCTTACTCTGCGTACGTGTGCCTGCTAGTTGGGACCCGGCTTTATTGGGAGTTGGAATTGTTCGCCGATGCGATTCCCTTGCTCGGTTGGCCGTCCGGATCAACGTGATCAACAAGATCAGCGGTTCTCATGTGGGTGAGAGAAACAACAAGCTTACTGTGTTCGGTGTCGTACACGCTATTCAGTGGAGTTGGGTAACGTGATGGGCAGAGCCCCGGCTCACACGGGCCAAGGCAGGGAGTAATGATTGCCCGTCAGCGTGGCTTTTGTCGGACAATTGGAGCTCAACCCTGACTCGGAGACGGTACTGAAGGCTGAGAGCGGTTGATAAAGCCAAGTGGCTTCAAAACAGAGTCGAAAAATCAGTTGCGTTGGCGATGAAGTCGACTTGCGGCAACGTCCATCAGGCCTTGATGGAACTTGTAAATGTGTTGATATCGCACGCGCTTCATCACCACCGTATTCGGCGTCCAACTCGGACTCGGAGGATCGTGGAATACCCTAGTTTCGGGGATGCGAATGGGCGAATTTGTGGACGATGAGTGGGAATAACGTGGACACCACATGGGTTCAAAGGAGAAGATCTTCCGAGCGCCGTCTCTCGTATCCGTCATTCGGTCTGCAGTCTGCAATGCCGCTTGAAGCATCGAGCTGAAGCCATCGTGAGCGCCATGCGCAGAGGCTGCCCGCTCTCCCCGTGCTCTGAATCCTCGCCGCCCAGATCCCGTAGGAGGGGAGGATCCGGAGGGGGCAGTCGGCCCCTTGCCGAATACCAGGACCGGAGGGCTACGGCTGGTTGCGGTCGACGGCCCGCTCAGTCGGCGGACAGCCCTGTGTCTGTCCAGCTGGAAATTCGGACTGCCCCGCGCATCTGCTTTTTCCGGATTGTCCGACGCATACGGTTTGTCAGACGGGGCCTGGCGGAAAAGGGGCCGGTGTCCAGCCACATGGTCACCGGCCGTGGCCCCAGCCAACACATTCATCGAGAAGCCACACCCACAAAAGGTTACTCTTTGCATGATGGCGGCTACTACATTGTGCATTCATATCTTTCATCTGTGCAAGGCCGGCAGGCTTGCCACATCTTGCGAACTACCTGAACACGCTGACGAGAGACCGAACCCCCCCCCCCCCCTTTCCTGAGTTCGGGCCCTAACATGGCTTAAAGCTCGGGGCTTGGGCAAAGGGAAATGCTGATGGCGACGAGCTTCCTCTTATGACCGTACTAGGCCACCAGGGCCCCATTGGTCCAACAAATCCCTGGCCACTGTAGGATCGAAACGCCCGCACAACGGCATACAGCTGCAGAGGAAGGAAGCCAAGGCGTCGCAGGAATGTGACGCGGAGTGCAGCGCAGTGGAGGACTTGGGATGAGGCCCGTCCAGCGACCGAAGTTGTGTTGGGATGGCGTCGCGCTCTCATTGGTTTTGATTCTGTACTCCCTTCCGTCTGTCGTAGGCTCGTAGCTGGACTGGAGTGGCCATGGCCGCTCGGCATGGACAAGAGGAACGGGCGTAGTCAAGGTCGGAGGGTTGAAGAGGGGAGGAAACCTCTGGGAATTTGGGAAATGATGAGCCCGGCGCTCTGGATCTGTTACGTTACAGAAAGTTGTCAAAACTAGGCTGTGCCGCTGTGTGCCCAAGCCTTATCTCCAAGCCTGCCTCTCTCTCTCTCTCTCTCTCACTCGGATATCTCACCTGTCCCCTGTTCTTCTCACCAGCTGCACGAACTTCGAAGGGCCCGATGGGGTCGATGCCACCATCGTTGTATGGAGTATGGACCCCTACACTACGCGGGCTGGCGGGTTGCAACCGGCATGCCCTCCGCTCCGGCCATGCGTGTTCCCATCCTTCATACCCCATCGACACCATCCAATTCCGAGGGTTCCTGCACCATCCAGTCTTCCTTGGTGTTCGGCAATCCTTCGAAACTACCTCATGCTTGGACTCGTTCCTGGCGCCGTCAAGCCCAAGAATGCCGCATGTTGGGGTATATGTTTTGACAAATTGCGCCCGTCTCATCCACGCGACGGCATCACTGTAGGTAGGTTGGCTACCATTAGTGTGCTCACGCTGGCCATGACGTGCGTTGACAAGTTATCGCTCATCTCATGATGGATGGCTGGGATGAAAGCACGCGCACCTAGCACGCGGACGGAGGGGTAAACATTCCAGGAGTCCAGGAACCACTTGATGTTGGGTCGAGTGTGGGGATTCCGAGCTTTCAACGTTCAGGGCCCTGTGAACCGGCGACGACAAGGTCCCGCCGAGAGAGTTGGGGCGAAGTTTGTGAACTATGTCTGTATGGGTCTTGACTCTTGGGACGGTATCCTGCAGCCAACACACGGAGACTTCGACTCTCGACGATGTTAGTTCGGGGACGTCGATCCAGTCTTTCTGCTTTCACGCGGGCAGTCTTTTGCCGGCCCTCTGCGGGAGTCTTGAACTGCAGGCTATATCAACAGGACGTAGGCACAATCAACAGACAATGCGTTGCGACAGTCACCCTTGGATGAATGCATGCGCATGCACCTGCGCATGGCAAGCCGCGATGGCAGGCTGCCTGAAGCCGTAGCGTGCTGTACTACGGATGCTATACGGGAAGTACTACATTGTGTGGACTATGTATGGAGCCAACCCAACCGAGGCGAACGTCGGGGTTGTGGGCCGGCTACCAGAGATTTAGATGGGCAGCTTCTAGATGCGGACAAAGAAGCGATGCAGTGGAAATTTCGACAGGGGGAATGCCATGGGCTGTCTGGACCATGGTTCATGAGAGACTGAGCATCCAGTTCATAACTTCCTTCATCCTGGCTTGGGCTGGGCCGTTCGCGGTTCAGGAAGCTGAGCAACGACGGCGGAAAGGGGCCCTGGATACATCATACATGGCAGGTCTAGGCAGCCCCCTTGAGATGGAGAGCATTATGGCCAAATTTGTCTGCATTAGTGCGGCTGCAAGGGGCATCGTCCCCTTTGCGGTCCCTGATAAGGGTGAAGGTCGTTGGGCTTGCAACAGTTGCTATCGTTGAAGACCTTCTCTGCAGCGTGGGCACTTTTGACTTTTTTTTTTTTTTTTTTGCGCGGTATTTGTGAAAAAAGGGGGGGGGGGGGGGGCGGTTGAGCGGGTGGGTACGTTCGAGGAGTAGCCCGTGTGCGACGCCCGGGGCGGCCGTGCGGCGGTCGGCTGGGGGGGGGGCCGCCGGGGGGGGCGGGGGGGGGGGGGGGGGGGGGGGGGGGGCAAGGCGCACGGAAACGAAACTTGAATACAAGCATCTGTACATACGCAGGAGCCTAGGCAGGGCATCGAGATTGTGACGCTCTTTTCATTGTTCAGTTTCCCCCCTTTGTGTGTTTATCTGCATGTGTTGTCAGGCTGGTCATTGGGATGGGCAACACTGTTTGTTGGGCCTCCATCTCCTCGCCTGCCGTACGGATACTCTCTGCGAAGTACACAATGAATACTGAGCAGTACGAATACAAAGTAAACACCATGGCTCTCCGTGGGTCGATGACCAGGGTGCGACCGGCGTCGCCATGCTGCATCCTCGGCGACATTGTCCCTGAGGATACGACCCAAAGACCTGGGTTCAATGGGGTTGGTCGTTGGACTCCCTGGACTCGTGGAGTTTTGCTCTCGAGAGACAGCACGGAGTATCCATACGGATGTAAGGAAACATTATCCGTACAGTCTCAACTTGGGGTTGGGTAGGCATGGAGGTGGATGGGCCATCCCATGGAAACCTCGGATGGACGGATGTGTCGCTGTTGGGGGCCACTCTCAGGGCAAAAAGAGGAGTCGTCGAGCAATTGTCTGAATTGGCCTCTTCAGTCTCTTCCCCGGGGGGCCTGGGAGATCACCTCGGTGCGTTCCTATCCGTACGGTATCCCTTGTATCCATGCTTTGGATACGTGGATACCTTGGCAACTACTTTCCGAAAGTGAGGCTCCACTGCTTCGGTCAGCAGAGTTCACGGTGATGTCTGTATTAACGTGTAATTTCCAATGCTCAATGGTTGGCACCTGAATTGAAGGGAAAAGTCAAAAACGGGACGCGACGAGCCATGCCGTCGTCCATGGGCATGGGAGTGAGAATCTAGACAACTAGACAAGACACGACACGCAGCGTCTCTGGCAAAGACTTCAGAGTTTGTCCTTCCCAATTTAACATGTCATATCGGCAAGTCAATCGAATCAATCAGCGAGGCACAATCCACTTGGAGACCAGGGCCTGGATCCCTCTGGCCGCCGATAGGGGACTTGTGGTGCATGCTGCAGCGCCGGGCTCTTGGTCGCGACCATCCTTGTTCCTGGGCTTCACCGGGGGCCCCTTGCTGGGCAAAGCCGCCAATTGTTCCTACTACCTAGCAATCTCGAACAAGACTGACTGTCAGTGTCGCCGTGTGATGGTTTGATACGGTACGGGAGCACTCTGCTGAAGCCGAAAGCACCATGGGATATGTCTAGCTCTTGCTGCACTACGTAGGTTGTAAGCCAAGGTATCCGTAGGGGAAGTACATTATCATCTACCGGATAAAGCCGTGTGCAAAGACGCCTGGTGCTGACGTTGGCTCTTTGTCGCGGCGGTGGCGTCCCCCACGAATCTACACTTACGATTCCCTCTTACCTGGGGACGCGAGACAAAGAAGCATTGGTGAGACGGGGGCGCTCGGAGAACTCAAAGTCATCAATTGAGCTATCCGTATCCGTAGAAGGGCAGGAAGGGCAGAAATGCAGCCGTGGGCATGGTGAGGTCCACGAGCCAAGCCAACTACTATTGTAATGTTGAGCAGCAAGTCTCCCAGGCATACAGTAGGTATTGTGGATGGCAGCATACCTGCCTGGGTAAACTCGGTGTTTCTAGCTCTCGCGTGTGCAGATGCCGACGGAGGGGACGGCGGACAAGGACGGCGGAGGATGCCAGGTTCAGTAAGGGCTGTATCCGTATGGTCGGTCCCAAGCCAAGGTAAGCAAGGTCATGTAAGGCCGAGCAGGGCAAGGTACATGTCAACGGGCGTTTCTCAGGTTGGCCCAGCCGCGAAGGCAAAGCCGCAAAGGCGACGCGGAGCAGACGTGACTTGAATATCTGGGGGAGATGCCCCCCCTCCTTTCTCCGTCTTGCGTCTTGCGTCGTGCGTCTTAGTCTGCGTCCTCGTCTCTGTCGCCGTCTCCGTCTCCGTCTCAGTGTCAGCCAGCTTACCTGGTCCGCGTGCGACCCGGTGTCTTGCTTTGCTTCTGCCGCTTTGTTTCTTGTTTTGTTGCCCTCTTGGCGGTCATCCATCGTTACTCACGACCGGATCAGCCACGCGCGGACGCAACGAAGCTGTCCGAGAACCGATTGATTCCAATATCTCACCGGGCCGGCCGAACGACAGCTAGCTGCGTACAAACGGGCGCTCTCAACGCAATCGCTACGACACTACGGATGGAAAGGGATCCTTCGAGCAGAATCCGAAACCTGAGCGGTGGCGCGAATCCCGTCCGGAAACGACGATAGCCTCTCGACTCTGCTGTCTCTCCGTATCTTTCTCTCTTCCTCTCTGAGAGGCCTATTTAAATCGAGTACGCGCCACGTCGCCTTGGCAATTTTCGGCCGTTGGAAACGAACTGGATGCTGTTGCGGAGAGAGCTCGTCGCATCACGTCTCATTTTGAATGTTGATTTCACAGCCTTCTCAACTTCTTTGCTCTCATCTCATCTCACCAACACGCCTTCGGTGCCCGAAAGGACCCACGAATTGTAGGTACGTAGGAGACCGTTCTCTTTACTTGTCGCAGCCCCCTCAGCCTCGTCGCTCCCTCGAAGGGGCGAATTCCGAACAACAAGCTAATGAGCGAGCGCTTTTAGTTGCCCGAAGTCCCCATTCATCTGAGGAGGAAAACATTGAGAAAAGGAAGACGGCTAGGCTCATTGGGAAACAACCTCGGGGAAAAGAAAAGAAGCAACAGGTGTTGCAAAGAAGGAAACAGACGAAAACCCAAAGGAGGGAAAACTCGGCCGCATCCACCCATCTCAGCGGGCGCAACAGACGCACCACATCTGCTCAAGCCACCCTAAAACGGACCGTCATTTGGGGAACGACACGCCACAACAGCAAGCAGCAAGCGCCATTGGCTCCCGGAACCTTCTACCCCAAACAGGCTGGGCCCCCCCCGCTGCAAATTGCAAGGCACCCACCCGACCACACTAAACGTCCTGAAGGCTCAAGGAGCGCTGCACTTTCCACTCGCTGATTCTTCCCGCTCTCCATCCCCGCCATCCTTATCGGAGCTCCTTCATTGCTCATCCTGAGTACGTACCGAGCCCACCAATACACCTTCCAGGTTGTTCCACCCAGGGTACCTTATCTGCTCAAAGCACCTTACCCAATTAGGGTAATCTGTACTCCCATACCTCTGCACCTCTGCACCCTAAGGTATCTGACAGTACCTTAAGGTAAGGCAAGGCGGGCACCTGCCAGAATCTCAGGTTAAGGTACAGGGGACTTTTGGGTCGTCTTATCTTATCTTGACTCTGGGGACTGCCTGTCAGTCAGTCACCTCTGTCTCCGTTCCTCTCTCCCATTCACGCGTACTCTCTTTCCGTCTCCCTCTGTACGAATACACTGCGTGCAGCTCTCGTCGCATCCCCAGCAACTACATCATCCACCGCTGTAGTCGCAACGGCATTCTCTCACCCACAAACACCTCCCGGGAGACCTGTAGCGCATTCTGACTAGAGCTGGGCCGTCCACAGCGCGTGAGCAGCTCTTCGTGAGCTTGGCCTCATCGCCGGCAATCCACTCGCCGACATGTCCGGCCGAAGCGCCTATGTGCGCAAGAAGATCACCCAGGCCGAGAAGGAAAAGGCGAGGGCAAGATCAAATACCGGGGGCGTAATCGGCGAGTACGAGGACCTCACCATTCCCGAATTTCCTCTTCCCCAGACCGGAGCTTCCTTACCCGTTGGTACCGGCATCGGCACCACCAATGCCCGCTTCCTCAAGTTCTCGGAGCCTCCCCGCGACATCAAACCCGGCACCCCCAGCATAGGCAGTGGCAGTGGAAGCAGTGAGGGCGGTCGTCGCGACGGGAGCTCCGGCCCCCTTGACGACTTCGCCTACGCCCGCGCCCGGAGACCCACCATCAAGACGGAAGATGTCTCGGGCATCGAGAAGTCGGGTTTGCGAAGCAGGCTGGACAAGAGGAGCGAGGACGTACGGAGGGGCCTGGCCAAAACTTTCACTTTTAAACGCAAGGACAAGGAACCCGACTTCCGTCCCGAATCCGTCGCCACCGTACGGCCGGGCCAGCATCAGAATGCAGCCTCAATGTCGCCCACTGAGCCCGAATATACTTATGAACAATTCAACATGGACACGATGCAGCAAATACATATGCAGAGGCAGATGCACATGCAGCATCAACAACAGCAACAACAGCAACAACAGCAACAGCAACAGCAGCAGCAGCAGCACATGCAGCACATGCATCAACACATGCGCCATCAAGATATGGACTTGCCCACATCACCGCCGCCGGCATCGAAACTGCCTCCCGTACCGACAACGCCGCCTATTAAGCGATGGATCGGCGCCGGAAGACCTATTCAGAGGTGGAACAAGCTTCGTAAAGACCCCGAGCTGTGGGACCCCAATGGCGATGTCCTCGTCTTCTTTGGGCACAAAGGCCAAGCCCCGCGGCCGAATCCATCTTTTAGACTATCCTCACACATAATCGAAGCGACCGAGTCGAGGTACCTCATAACGCTACTGCGGGAGGGCACGACCGAGGAAGACATCTACATGCTCCCATCCCCGCAGGGCGCACCGCCAATGCTCCGGCCGCACATGCGCGGGGGGCAACCGACACCGCCCATCTCGGAGGATCTCGGCGAAGCTGATGGGCAGATTTCATACGAAATGTACTTCCCGACCCCGGCCAACATGACCAAGACGGAACAGCTCAGGAGCCACATCACGACACGAAATGTTTTCGCCTTGCTTTACCACGCGTCCCTCGTCGGATTGACCCTCCATCAGGCTCTTTCCGACCTTCACATGCGATTAGACGCCTACATGCCTCCAGATGCGGACAATGTGGGCATGATTTTGAACTATCTGTCAGCTCGGGGAATAGACGATGTCCGCAACGACCCGGAAACGGCCGTTAGCTTGCTGGCATGGTCTGAAGGGTCAGCTGTGCGTTGGGAAGAGGGCTGGCGGGAGAGTTTTCTGCACTGCGCCGGGATGTATAGCCAGCTGGAGACGTGCGCCGATTTCAAAGACCTCACACCCATCACTCGCGCGCTCCTGGAGCGAGCATGCCTGGAGACGCAGCTTCGCGTACAAGCGGCTGAAGAACGACTGGCCGAGTTTCAGTACGGCGATATGTGGCCGGCTGGTGTCGGTGGGCAGGCAAAGGCAGCCGCGGACCGTTTACAAAAGTTCTTCCTGAACCACTACGTTCGTTCGCGAGGAGCGTGGCCACCTGCGCAAACAGCGGGGCTTCCCGACTCCGACGGCGAGGACATGTGGCTTACGAGGAGTGTGGCACAATCGTTGCAAAGGGACTTTGGGGCGCTCTACGATTACCTCGTCAACCGCGATATCGTGTGGGACATGTCTGAAGCGCGATCAGGGCGCAAATGGATGATGCAGAGTGAAAAGGACAAAGGGTTCGATGCCGATGTCGACATTCCCGTCACGGACATCCTCGTCGAGTTCGACAATAAGCTACGGTTCCCACACATTCCGCACCCGTACCCCATGGTGCCCGAGTCCATTCCACCCGCACCGTCAAAGGAGAGCTCCATGTTCAAGAAGAAGACGGGCGCAGGTGCCAATAACGGCGGCCGAGCGGGCGCCTTGGAACGACGAGTTCAACTGGCGTACACCGAGGCTACTAACATTTATATTCTCGGTTCTGACTTCACGCAGTCGGACCTTATTGACGCCTTTGTCAAATTCGAAAAGGGCGACAGCGTAACCGAGGTCGACCCGGCCGTAGCTCGACGTGGACGTTGGGTCCTAATCTATGGTATTCTCCAGACGCTAGCGAGTGTTTCGGTAGACGCCCCCAACGTGCGATACCGCGATGAGGTCCCGTATCATCTATCTCCCCGCCTGAGGGGCACGAGAGTCCCTCCATGGAAGGGCTCCAGCACGACAGACGAGGCCTCGCACGAGCTATCCCACTGCTGGATGGTACAGCACAGCTGGAACACGCCAAACAACAGTGGTGCTGAGAGTTCGGGCGGATCAGGCAACACCAGCCCCGTCCACAACCTCGCCCGTCCGTTTGCGTACCCGCGCGCCCCGGCCTCGACAACATCGCGGGGCTCCGGGTATCAGACTACCGGGACCCGTTCCGTCCACTCGGCAGGTTCGGCGCCTCACTTCAGCTCGGCGTACAGCGTCGTCAGCGAGAGCGATACGGCCAGCAGCATCCGTACGCCTGCATCCAGTCGGCCCGGCACAAACATGAAGCGGGCGCAATCGCGAGACAACGTCAAGGGGCTGGGTGGCGGACCAGGAAGCATGCGCAGTGCCACCACATTTGGCGGCGCCGGCGCCGGCGTGGACCGAGGTGAGGGCATAGAACTACCCATCCGTAGGCGCGACTTTAGCGCCCTCTTGGATACCAATGGCTCGCATGGGAATTATGCGCGGTCCGGTACCCCGTACCACGAGCAGCAGTCACTTCCTTTGCCGAGCAATATCACGGGATCGGGCGGCTTCCTTGCGCTCGACGACACGTTGGATAGAAAAAGCGCACGGGGTGGGTATAATATCGGAAGAGTGAAGCGCGAGGGGTCCGAGACGGACAGCATGGCGCCGCGAATCCGGGACTTTGATTTGGACGTTATTGATGATCACGAGCCGTAAGGTGGACGAGGCCAGGCCAATCTGGCGTTAGAGCCGGCTTGCCGCGTGATGGGGCGATAAGACCATGTGTATATATACAGTATTCTGGGCCCAGGCCGTGGTCATGATCTGGGGAAACAAGCCATGAAGGAACTAGAGTGGGACGGGATCATGGCAAAGCAAGCGAGATATCGGATGGATACTGGTATATTTCTTGGTTTGGTTTCGAGGATTCCCCCCTTTTTGTTTTTTTTTTCGGCGATGGACGCAAAAGTTGGAGAAAGCCACGTTGATTGAGTGATACCCGCTAATGTTAGTTATATTGTTTTGATCTAATAAGACATGAATGACTACCCCGTACGGATACTGGATAGCTTAAACAATAGGGTAGCAGCAAGTTGTGAGAGATGTGAACCTATGTATGCTTCAGGATGGCCCAGGTAAGGTATCATCAAGTCAAGAGGACCGTCGCAGGTAAGCAAGCAGAGGGAGGATTGGGATCAGAAGAACTCGGGTATGGGCTTGGAGGCATTTCAGACACAAATGTTTGTTTTTGGTGATGATGAAGAGTCGATAGCAGTGTCGACGTGGTTCACCTACCTGGGTCGGGTCACCTTGTTGTATTAGGTAAGGCAAGTTGAGTGAGGCAACATGGCTCGGAGTCGGAGAGAGAGGGCCGGCCCCCCTTGTTTCTCGTAGTCCCCACGTGGGCCATATTGGGGCGGGCCGTGAGAGTGAAGCCGTGGCCGGCGAAGCGGAGTGGATGGGAACAGGCGAGGTGGGAGACGATGACACGATGGGACTCGAGTGGGACTGGATGTTTCCCCCCCCAACGGCCGGGGGTACCTTATCGCAGGTGTGCAACACGGTCGAGGCCGGCACAGGCCCAGCCACCTCATCACCTCCACTCTTCTTTTGTCTCTTTCTTTGCTTGTCACGCTGTACAACAGGGGTACCTGAGGACTGGGAAGCACGTCGCGTTCCATTGGCGGTCAAGGGAAGTACGGAGTAATTTTCTCACCGTACGGGTAGAGAGCAAGGAATACACCCAAGCGAATGCGTGAGATGACAAGATAGTTGGAGGAAAAAAGTTGGAAGCATGGTGGAGGATGGTGGATGATGACCAGCCCCGCCGATTTTAGGTTAGAGTGGCTCCTCGATCCATGAGTGCCGGGGGGGAGTGGGAAGGGCCTGGATTGGCTGGGAGTATTGCAAAACCCCACTTTGGATGAGTTGTTTGCTCTTTCAGGGTTGAGGCTTGGGGTCCGCGGGTCTAGACGTGAACTGTGCCGAGACTGAGACTCTGGACGGTCTTGCTGGCCGGGAAACCAAACTCGTCTCGTCGGGTTCTGCTCCCGCAGTAAACGAGATGGACGATGCGATGGACAGGATTGGTAGGGCAAAGATTCAGCAGCGAATGAGCGCATCGCCTGGATGGTTCACCTTCATTCTGCAACAGGCAGCCTCATCTGTAAGATGACGACCATGTACAGCCGCCGTGAGCAACTCGCGAATGAAATTGGAAGCTTGTTGCCGTCTTTCCCTTGCTTGCCCATCTGTTTCAAGGCACCACGGAACCTACCTCGAGATAAGGTACCTTATCCCGAGCACGTGGATAGCCGGCCGTTTAGAGGGTGGAAGGTGGAAGGAACAGGCAAGGCGTTGGCCAAAAGGGGACAGAGGGGACGCCGATCGCCGACGTCATGGCCAGTGACGCACCTCAGCAAACATCTCTCACCTTGCAGGCACCTTCCCGCGACCCTCGAGTGACTGACCTCAGCTCAGGCAATATTAAGGTACGGATGTGAATGAATTGGTGGGTAAGACCGTAAGACGAAAGTGTGAAGTAAAGGTGCTCGGGCTCCCGCTCTGCAAAATGCCTTGGCCGCGGTCCGTGTTATTGTTTGACGGCCCCTGGAGACAGCCGTCAAGCAAGGCCGTGCCATGCCATGCTTGCAAGAGGGCGAACCGCTGCACCGAGCTGCGCAGCCGTAACCCTCCTATTTCTGGTTCCAGATCCATGTAAAATCTTGCGTTTGTGACGTTGTGAGGCCTTCATCCCCGTTCGTGCCTATTCCGTCCCATCTCCCACCCGTAGTCGGAGAATACTTGTATCCAGGCAAGGTGAGCAAAGGTACGGTTGAGAGGGAGCATAAGAATGAGAGTGAGAGTGAGAGGGAGCGGGAGTGGGAGTGGGAGTGAGAAGCATAGCGAAGAAAGCGGGAAACGGGCAACCGGCATCTTGCAGCAAAAGCTCTGCCCTGCCATCGCAGTCGACCTGATGCTCAGGTACCTTACCTTCCGCTGCTTCTCCATCCATGACCGTTAACCATCCTTGACTGCGACTGCGATCCAGCCCAACCTCCCCATTTGAACAACCACACCAACACCAACAACACCACCACCACAACTACTGCTGCGAAATAAACTTGGCATTGCACGTTGCCTTGCTTTTTTGGCTCCCACCCTCTCTCTCTCTCTTTTCCTCACCCTGGTCCAATCTGCTGCTGCTGCCCACCCGGGATGGCTTGTCATGACTTAAGTGACTTGCTGACCCCAAACCCAAACCCGACCTGCATTTGCATTGGCTCAGTTTCTGGCTCACACCTCTCACACACACCCAAGGCGCACCTTGTTTATGTGTTTATTTAACCGCCCTCCCACCCCATCCCAACCACCCGTCCGTTCATCTGAAAGGGCTCTAGAAAAAAGAACACGAGCCAAAAAAAAAAAATCTGCACGCGTTCGCTTCTCTGTTCTCCTACTACCTTGGTAGCTTCCGTCGACCGGCCGCCTTTTGTCTCTGGCTCGACTATCTGGTCTGTCTGACTGTCCGTCTGTCTCGAACCCTTAGATCTCCGTCGCCAGTCGCAAGCGCAACACCACCACCGCCAACGCATCCCGTTGCATCCCGTCATATCTTTTCCACACAGCAATCAGCAGCTCTTTGCCCAGCCGTCTAGGCTACCTACCGCCCAGCATGCTGTTCGCCGTGCTGTTCGCGGCGACGCGATTCTTCCAAATCATTACCTTGGTACGTCTTCTCACTTATATATCAGTGTTCAACACCAACAACATCATCACCATAATCGGCCGCCGTCTCGAGACCTGACTCAGTACCTCATTATTAACACGACATTACAGATCCCGACAATGGGCATGCTCGCCTGGTTCGTCGACGGCTTCGTAAAGCATAACGTCATCGTACCCGATTCCATCCTTGTCCTCTTCATCGTCTCCGTCCTCGCCCTCGCTTGGGCCATCTTCACCCTCTTCAGCTATCACCGCAGCAGCACAAACGCACTTTTCGTCGCAGTCATTGACCTCGGGTTCGTCGGCGCCTTCATCGCCGCAGTTTGGTACCTGCGCGGCATCAATTACGTCAACTGCACCAACCTCGCACGCGACGGCCGCTGGGCCGCAAACTTCCCGGGCCTCTTCACCATCTCCGGCCCCCGCTTCAATATCTTCACCGACAAGCCCTGCGCCATGCTCAAGGCCTCATGGGTATTTGGCATCATCAACACCATCCTCTTCTTCTTCACCGCAGTCCTCGCCTGGATGCACGGCGACCGTCTCTCCTCCAGCTACGAGCGCAAGTCCTACCACCACGGCCGTCACCGCCGTCACCGCTCTCACAGCCACCGCTCCCACAGCCGTCGCAGCTCCCACTCCCACTCCCACTCCCACCGCCGTGTCTACGTCTGAGACCCTCCGTCTGAGACCCTCCCAACCGAGAACGGTGAAAAGCGCATCGTTTAATTCTTTTTTTTTTTTTTTGGAGGAAATTTGACGAAATGTACAAGAACGAGAACAACAAAATAACAAGACAAGATAAGATACCATGAAATGATACGATAGGATGGAAGGAGCATACCAATGCTCAGGGATTGTCATATAATTTCAGCGACCCCGGCGCAGGTAATGGATGGCATATTCATTAATGATGACGAATTTAACGGCATTGATTCAAAGGATTTCCTTTCTCCCGTGCTCAGCCTCATTGCTGGCCTTCCGTCTCAATTTACAAGCTTCCGATTGCCTGTCCATTTCCCTTTCCAGTTAAGACTAGAAACGGCGGTCTGGCTAGGCCGACCGAGCGTATTATCCGTTTGGTACACGGGCTAAATCACGCTGTAGAGTAGCAATAAGTAGGACATCGGTTGATGATGAAGAAATTTGGTATCTCGCAGTCCTCACCAGTGTCTATTTTTTGTTACCATGTCTTGCGCCGATTTAAAATAACCCGTCAATCGTCACTCTTCTTCATGCCCTACCAGCATCCTCGCCAACCGTATAACCCCGCGCAACACCGCTGCGGCCTTCCTCGACGACGGTACTATTCTCCTCGTCGTAGTCCGTCCCGAGACCCTGCCACGTTCTTTGCGAACGCAGATACTCGGCACCGGGACTAAGCACACCATTGATAGTGGCCACCTCGCCCACCTCACGCTTCACCAACGCCGACTGCCCAGGCGTCTTGCTACTGCTGCTTTCCTCCCCGCTATCGCCGGTCTTGGGGTCACCGTTGGCCGACCGTACCAGCATCCTCATCGGCCGGCTGGCCACGAGCTTGCCGGTGCGCAGGTCGTACTCTGGCGGCGCCGACTCGTCCTCGTCCAGCTCCTCCTCCTCCTGCCTGACCGCGTCGTGGTCCATCTTCTCGATACCACCCCACCACTCGAGGCCCCACACGCGCTCGCTCTCGGGCTTCAGCGCCACCTCCATCTCAAAGGGTGTGATGACGGGCTTGAAGAACCCAGCATCCTCCTCCACCAGGCCGCTTTCCCAGCACCCCACGACGACCCAGCCGTCGACCTCGGCAAAGTTGGCCAGCTTCGCGGCGTTCAGCTTGCCCACCACGACCGTGTAGCTCTTCTTTCCCGCTTCGGCGATACGCCGGCGGAGGAGGTCGATGCTACCGAGGTAGTTGGACACGGAGAGCGTGTTGACGAGGATGCCCACCACACCGGCCGTGGCAAGTGTCAGGACGCGCGCAAAGCGCCGACGAAGAAGAGCATTTGTTGTCCGCGTCGGGTCGTCGGTCGTAAGGCTCGGCGTCGAGAGGACGTGGAGCGAGGCCATGCGGGTCTGGAGGGCGAGGAGGAGCGCCGGGGGCGGTGTCGAGATGTGGAAGAGGGAGTATTGGGACAGTTCGGTCGTTGCGGAGGCGCCTCGGGAGGAAGAGTCGTCGACGACCTTGCGGTTCGGGATTGTGCCGGTTGGGTCGTGTGTCACTTCGGTGTGCAGCAACTCTGTGTAGCCGGCAGAGCGCAGTGTCGCGGCGAGCGGAGCGACGTGGTCCTGGTACGTAACGTCGGCTACCACGACCACTCTGTGCTGCTTGTCGGGGAATTCTTTGGAGAAGGCCTCGACCGCCTGGTCGATGTCGAGGGTGTGCCGCGTGAAGACGTAGATGACCGGTAGCCTCGACGTCGGCGACAAACATGAACGACCGTAGTGTACGACAATCTGGGCTTCGGCGTGCTCGGCCGCGATCTCGTCGACGCAGCAGGCGCTGTAGGATGTGTCGGCGAGGATGTACACTCGATGGGTTTCGCTGCCGCCCAGGGCTTCCGTCAGCGCCTCTGCGACCCACGAGGCGTCGCGCAGCATGGCGTCGGGGAACTGGAGGGCAACGCGGTTCCAGCCGCCGTCCTTGATCTCGCGCGCCGTGCGCTCGATCTCGTAGACGGACGCGAGTTCATCTTGGGTGCGCACCGCGGTGGGTGGAGGCGGAGGCGGAGGCGTCGGGTCTTCGAAAATGTGTTCGGCGGGTGTCGAGAGGACGGGCGCCGCTGAGAGTTCTGTCATGGCCGCCGGCTTCTGCGAGAAAAGTTTTCTGGTGACGGGTGTGGAAAAGGAATCGGTCGATGGCGGGGTTGCGCTAATGGCGGGGTACCAAGTTCAAGATCAGACCCCGACTCACCCTATCGGTGAGTTCGGTGTAACTTGGCTGGATGTGTACCCACCGCGTGTCGGGAAGTCTTGCCATTCCATCGGTCAAATTCTTCCAAAGTACACGGTGGGAGGCCATAAACGTCTTCTATTGTTCGACTTTGAATTACAATACAAAGGGCACAACCTCCATTTTGTTTGTTGGCAAAAGGAGGAGAGAGTACAATTAGTCATGCGGAGATTTGGAGTCGAGTACTCTCGTTGCGATTTGTGTATTGGCATTAATATCATTACATGCTTTCCAACATGATCTATAATTGCCATCTCAACTTTGCTCGTTATCGTCAACATCGCGGTATTCCTAGGAAATGTCCTCTCATGTCCGCTTGTCTGGAAGCAGTTCTCTCATCATGCTCCTCAGAGGCACCTAAAACAGGCCAAAGCAGTTGGCGTAGTAGGTGACAGTGGCACTCCAGTCCGAAAAAATGCTCAAGACACCAACATCCTGGGCAAGAACGTGGAGCAGATTGTAAACATCGCCGTCGTTGTTGGTGACGTTGGCGATGGAGGTGTAGTAGTAGCCACCCTTGCTCTCGTCTCCTAGGAAGCCTGAACGCTCCAGAGACCACGAGATGATCTTGAGGCCTAGCTCCTTGGCCTTGATTGCATATGTACTAGGCACAATCTTGTCGTCTTCCACGGTAACGAGGTAGTATAAAGGAGGGGCAATTATCCTGACACCAGCAGCAGCGAACTCGGTCAAGTTGGCAACGGCGAGGGGGAAGGTCTCGGGAGTATCTCCGCTCTCGTCCAGGAGAACGCCCTGTTTGCCAAACTCGGGCTCGGCCTTGAGCCAGTAGAGGATATCAGGGTAGTGGAATGACTGAGGCCAGACACGGTCAGGGGAAACACCAGCTTCCTTGTACTCATCAATCATCTGCTGCGCGTATTGTTCTTGTGTGTAGTCTCCCTGAAAAGGCATCTTAACCTCTGGAAGCTTGAGCTCGGGGGTGAACTGTAGACCCAAGTCATTGGTCATGGAAATGTGCTCCTTGAGGGTCATGACAGTGCCGCAGGTAGCGTACAGGTCGGTTCGGTATCTTGGGGTACCGAGCAAGAAGTCTTTAGGGGTGACGGCCGAGGCATTAAAGCCATCCATCTTGCTACAGAGAGTCTTGAACTCAGCGACGGTAATGTCCGAGGTGCAGCACTTGGCGGTCGCGGCCGTACCGTTGGCGGCGGGAGTGAAGGGGGTGGTGCATTTGGCGTTGAGCTCGGGGATGGCGACAATGTTTGTCGTCGTGTGAAGATCGCACTGCGAGTGGCGGCAGACCAGTTGGCGGTCCTTGGTGAAGGCGACGTCGCACTCGAGAACGCCTGCACCCATACGGGCACCGGCGAGGTTTGACTCGACCGACTCTTCCGGAATCATCATGGTACCGCCGCCACGGTGACCAATGCTCCAGTTGGAGGGTTTGATGGGCTGCTCTGAGCACGATTGCAGCTTCTCTTTGAGAGGACCTTCATCCATGTCGTTGATCAACCAGTAGGGTCTCGGGCCCAATTGGATGCTGGTGATGGGCTTGTAGACCGGGGCCGGCTCGGGACAGGGGACAGCATTGACCTGCCGGGAAGCGGCAGCCACAAGGCCTGAGACGACGATATAGTTGAAGTGCATGTTGACTGGCGGCCAATGGTAACCGTTGAGGCGGGAATGTGACTGGTCGAGGTCGCGCACAACGAAGGGACACGGCGATCAACGAAGGACTCGCCGAGAGGAAGGCCGAGAATTGCAGGAGCTGGAGCTGGAGCTGGAGCTGGAGTCGAGGATAGCAAAGACAGGAAGGGGAATAAACCTGCCAGCACGAGCAGAAGCAGGCCGAGGCGTCTCCATCTTATGTAGGCCCAAGTCTATCTATCCATGCTGGAATCTCGAAGTTGTTTTGCCAAGACGACCAGCAGCTGCAATGTTCGATAGCTCTGGGAGCCCCCGGTGCGGAATACGTAGGATAAGATAACCAATGCACTGCTAGTCGAACAACATGATGCTGAACAGTTGACGGAAGGCTGCAGATTGGACAGGGCCCCAGGGCTGCGTCGGGCAACATGCTTGCACTCGGCATGGCCGTCTGATCTTTTCGCCGAGATGATTTAGAGGCGTATTCGTCCCGTACATGCGAGGGACAAGGACAAGGTTTACACCAACAACAGGATGGGATGGGATGAATGTAGCAATCGGCGGCCGGCCGTAGAATGCGCATGTTATCAGCACGTGTCAAATGGAAGGACGGAGCCCTGGAAGAAACAGAAAGAATAGGTACCAAACATCGGACAGGAAGAACCCGAAGGGTGAGGGAAATAAGGTGATGTCCAATTCCTCCAACCTGGACGGCTCCAGGGATGCGGAGGAGCTCCCCGAGTTTGTTGTTTCCAAGCTGTCCCGCAACAGTGAGGGGTCAACGGCGGTACGGATCCACTAGCGGTCCTTGGCGGCCCCGCAACATCTGTGGAGCAGAGCTGCGTGCTGACAGGACGTCCTCTCATTCGCCAATTGAGCCCATCCCAAGCTCCGGTCCCAGGCAGCCAGGGCTGATAAGGAAGTTGACATCGACACCCCAAGACTCACCACCCGCGCCTTCCTCCCTCCTCCATCATTGCTGCACTGCATCGTGAACCTCACTGGTTGTACCCGATGCACGTGCCCAACCTGCAGACACACCGCACCACACACCGAGGTGACATGTTGACCGAACAGCCCTACCAGTAACCGGTGCTCACTGCGCGGACGGCTAGATACCCGGGCCATTCCCGCCGAGCCGGTAAGCGAAGGCCGGCGTCTCCGGTCCCAAGTGTGCGTCGCCGCCTGTTGCAATATAATTAGTCTCCCGGGCCGCAGTCACAGCGGATCGCCGCCAAGACGCCTATATCAACTCCACGAGTCATTGGTGGAGACCCCCGGGACTTGGATAAGCTCCGACAGCTTCAAATGTTTACGAATACCTGATCAGGCCAGGGCTGAGTTAAGGAAGGACATGGAAGAGGATGTACCCACAACCTCAATAAAAAGGGCCTTGGGCAAGCTAATGGGAGGCTTCTGCGGATATGTTTGAAGCCTAGACTCACCATGCCCGTGCTACACAGTGCCAAAGTCATGACGGATTGCTTGTATCCGGTGGAAAGGGCAGTACCTAGACCTGACTTGCAGTCATGGTTCACAGACCATTCGAGGGTTTCGCAAATCTATGAGATGATGGGATATGGCTACTGGTGTACAGGAGGCTTCCTGGTGGTCGGTTTTGATCCTGGAATTCACCGTCTGAACGAAGAGTGGGGGTAAGAATCTTTCGCACCTGCATAGTCTCTAGACCAGTTGTGAGCTTTCAAGTCATTGCTACGCGTGGGAATATCGTGTAGCACAACGGATTTTGGCGCCTGGCACACCTAGCGAACATCCCCCTGGATGTTTGCAGAGGTGGCTCAGATATTTTACGGGAGAATTAAATTGGATTTCTCGCAAACACGACCACCTAAACGAAGTGACTGGTCTCAACAGAGGATGAACATGTAACCTTCTAGCATAATTCAAGACCAGATATCGTGTAACATGTCTTGACGGGTCTGGAGATGGATTAGATGAATAGCTCGCTATTGCACATACATGGAACTTGGATATTGCGCAGATAATTGATAATATTATAAAAGTGGTAGCTTGGGTTCCCAGTGACCCAACCTCAATAACGAACGCGGACCGTAACACCAGCTAGATGTAACTAAGCACACCCAAAAACAAAAGCCCAATACTCCGTTTCATACTTCAGGGGTATTTCCACATCATTCCAGAGGCCATTCAAAATTAAACCGAACCATGTCAATCCGCCATCAGTCGTCATTGTTTAAGCGCCGGGGTAGGCATGGTTATGCTTGGTGGCGTGGCCGCGCGAGCGCATGGCCTCGAGGGTGTCGAGGACAGTGAGGAACATAAAGATGGCCCAGATGAAGAAGGCAAAAGCGACGGCGGCCTGGGCTGAGCCGCAGTACGTGTTGGCGCCGCAGTGAGGGGTTCCGACAAAGACGGCAAGGGCGATGGCGCCGGCGAACCAGAAGATGGTGGTGATGACAAGAAGAGCAAGAGAGACAAGCTTGTGGAAGAGGCGGGTCATGTACAGAGGGGTTAGACCGACGTAGGCGAGGACCAGCAGTGACCAGATGGAGTTGAAGATGAGGAAGTTGACGATATCGGGAGAGTGAGACCACCAGCCACTCCAGCCGTTGTAGGCGCTTGCGACTGTGATGGTGTTAGTTCATGGGAAAATGGTATTGTAAAGCGGGGAGAAGGGAACATACCATATGAGGTGAGGCCGAGCTCGATGATAGAAAAGACGGCCGCCACGATGTGGGCAAGAGGTACGAGGGAAACCATGGTGAGCTTAAATCGGTTGCCGCTGATTATGTGCGTTCGGCAGGAGATAATGGAGGTTGACGGGAGGTATCACAGGTCTGCGATAGTATCAATAGTAGCAGGCTGAAATGGTATGGTTGGATCGATGGAGAAGTGGGTGGTCAATAAATTGAAGGTTGACAGAGGCGATGGGATTGAATAAGTAGTGGGTGAGAGAAGTGACAGGTGCTGGACGAGTTTCCCTGTTGAACTACCTAGGAAGTAAATGGCGTCAGACGGGGGCGTGGAGGAGCAGCAGAAAGAAGCAAAGGAAAAGGCTCGGCTTTCACACGCCAGGCAAAACCAGACCGCCGTTGGGCTTGGTCAAAGTCACCACTACGTAGTCATCAGCCGAGAACTCTGTACCCAACGTGAATTGGCCAGCCGTGAAGAGTTGACGATGCGTAATGCCACTGCGGCTTAGGGGGTGTGAGGTGAGTTAGAAGGGGGGCGTGTAGGATGTACAGGGCCACCTGCAGCAGAGAATGACGTGGTCCCAGGCGTTACGAGAAGGCCGCCGGCTGTAGGCATGACCTCATTATCAACCTCAGAAAGCCTCCGCCAGGGCTGACAGGGCTTTTTCACCAATGAACACAGGCGCTAATAGTGAGTCGCCGCTAATCTTCAGCCACTTCAGGCCACTCATCGTGGCGGATGACTCTCGCTTAAAGGCGGACCCCGCTATTCCCCAGATGTGCCTCGTACCTTCCATCATCTGCAATCCCAGCGAAAATCCTGTCAACCAAACAATCTTGAGGACATGGAAGAGTTCAAGACCCAGGCGTGCCATGTCATGTCCAGTCACGTCAGGTGTCTCTGTAATCTCCTGGGTATTTCCAGACCTTTAGGCCATGCTTTACGTACTCGACCCATCCACCATGTTCTGGGCCGGAACGCCACTGCCGACCCATCGATGCCCGTTGACGGTTGCGCGCCTAACGCGACTCAGGATGTATAAAAAAGTTTTCAAAAAGCAAGAGACGGCATAAAAAGAAAGTAGAAAACCATTTCCACATTACCCCGGCCCTGTGAGGCATGCGGCCTCAGGGTGCCTTGAGCCTTGACAGACACATAGATCAGATACCCGATTGCATCATGGTCTGGGATGCCTGATAGTCCAAGACATTGTGATGGCTGGAACAGTCGACGATCTAGTTTTTCCTCCGTCAAAGCAAAACAACGGATACCTCTACATTCAACATTGCATATTTGCATCTGTCTCGTCTGCAGTGACAGATTCCCCAGCTCGACTCGTCTTGAGAGACACAAGCTGAAACAGCCAGTCCATTCCTAATCAAGCATACAGGCGCTGCCCAAGCCAAGGGCAGCCACTGACAACCTTCACCGCACTTCTCCCAAGACCTTCCGGCGACCCTGCATTCTACAGTCGTTTGCCCGAGCTGCAGAGGCATGGATAGCGGACCCGTGCATCCATCAGCCATTGCCAGCAGTCAAATCACTCTCAGTCCCCTCACACACGCGGCCTTTCCGCACTCGAACAACCAACTACCGGTGCTAGCCAAGCCAAGGGCAACACCACCAGCACATCCATGATCCATCTGAAGGCTGCACAAGCTTGACGAGCAAACGTGCCAGGTCAACTGCCGCTAGTCCAAATCGAGGTAAGCGCACATGAAGCCAACGCCGGCAAAGAGCGGGTCATCACCGCCCGGTCTCGGCTCCGGCACCACGATATCCGTCACCCGCTGAGATTCTCAAGGGTGGCAGGTTCCAAGGGCCAAGAGTCGAGGTTGGGAAGACATCGATCCCCGTCTCTTCCATCCGACTTCCAACCACCCACCAACCTGTCAGACCGCCGAGTGCTGCCTCCCGCCCTCCGCCCTCGTTCACTTCGCCTTGCCATTACCACTGCCTCGCAGTCACTGCCTGCATTCAAGTGTTCCGATTGGAGACTTTCCCCAGGCTCTATGCCAGCCAGCCTTTCCTTTCACTTCAAGGTTCATTCAGCCTCTTACCTAAGCCCACCCTTTACCTACGCGTGTCCTTCTTCTCTCGGCCTCCCACCTCGGGCCTCTGCCTCCCTCTATCCATTTTCCGCCTCCCTCTATCCATTTTCCGATGGCAGCAACGGCAGCTTCGACCCTCTCTTTCTTCGTCCCACTGCCTCGCTTCTATGGAGTACCCGTGTCCAAATTCCGTCCTCGGCCTAGACTACCTCACTCACTACACATGATAAAAGGCTTTGCCTGAAGATTGACGACGGTACCTTTTCTCCAAGTTCACAGCGCCAACCATTCCACATGACACACCTGAGCCCCACTACGTCGGGGCGGATTATTCCAAGACATGTGGATGAGACATGCATTTCGTTAGATCGCCAAGCAACCCTATCCAACTTGATAACCCTCTGCGCGAATGCTGGTAGATGAAGCCGGCGTCTAACTAGAAACAATAACTAGGTTGGACATTATCTCCAGATGCAAGCCAGAGACGCAAGTCTGTGGTTAGACCTCGTACCATACTACCTATACCTCCCTAATCCTACACAATCAGGGTAGCTGCAGACGCTATCGTCCGCCTCGGCACCACATGGCCAACCTGTCAACCATTTGAGCTACAGCATCTTCTATGTGGACGCATACCGCACGCAGGGCACCGATATGGTCAAAGACAGAGCCAAGGTCTCCAGTCAAAGAATCTCAGCCCCTTCTTTTTCCACAGCATCTCAACGTGGAAAGCAAGAGTAGAGCACCCATTAGCTTCGAAAATTATCAACTTTTCCATTGCCAACCACACTATAACCCACACAAGCCTTGGATTACTCGCCTTAATCCACCAGGCAAAATTCTCAGTCCACGTGCAACGGTGCACGATTGACGACGCTGTGCGCAACCCGGCAGTGAGTTTGATCGTTCACATATTGACGCAGAAAGTGATGGCAAAGCATTATTGGCTCTGCCTAGGGCTCACCTACAGCTCATCAGCCTCTCGAGGGCCCGGACCCCAGGGAAAGCTGCCTCGGCCCCTGCGCTCTGCCAGGCCTTTGTTGACCGCCTTGAGGTTGTTGTACTCAGGCCCGTCCTCGCCCAGGCCCCAGGCAAAGACACCGCCGAGTCTCTTGTCGTCAACGAGGGCAGGGAATTTGCGCAGGATGGCATCGGGGGTATCATATGTCCAGAACCGCTTCTCGGCCCTGTCAAGGTAGTAGTACCCACCGCCCTCCTTGTCATACTTGCCCTCCTTCTGGGCTCTCTCGAACGAGGCCTTTACGTCTTCTTGCACCCCATCGTTCCAGCTGAAGCCTCCCGTCTGGCCCAGGTCCCCACCCGTGACGGGATCCTCCATGAGGGGTGTCGGGCATCCGACCTCCTTGCCCTCGGGGCAATCCGTCGTCTTAAACCACTTGGTGTAGAAGGCGAAGCCGAGGTTGATCTTATGGGCCGGGACTCCTCTGGCCATGTAGTTGTCGACGGCAATTCTGGACAGCTCCATACCCGTGTGGTGCTTTGTCACGTTGTCTCGACGGTTCATCATGTCGTAGGTCATGACATTAACGAAGTCGAGGCTGCGCACGATGCGAGGGACCGTCTCCCTGGTGAAGGCAATCATGTCGCGCTCGAGGCCTGGAGTGGCAGCCGAGATGAGCTTGCCCCTTGGGAGCTGCCTGCGGACCTCCTCAAGCAGTAAGGGGTAAGCCTCAATCTCCCACCTCTTTTCCTCGTTGGTGTTGTCCTTGTAGTCTTCGCCATTACCGCTGGTCTTGGAGTCAGCAGTTGTCTCTACAGCATCTCTCGAGAGTGACCGCAGTCCTTGAAATTGAAGCTCACCCAGGGTATTCCCAGTCCATATCAATACCGTCAGCGCCGGTTGCCTTGACCATGTCGGCAACATTTTGGGCCCATTTCCTCCGCGACTCTGGGGTACGGGCGGCGGTGTCGAAACCCTTGGTGTCGCTCCAGCCGCCAATGGCGACCATTACCTTGGTGCCGGGCATGAACTGGGTGCGGACCTTGTCGACGGTGGTGAAGAGAGGCCACTCGGCCACGTCCTTATTGAAGGTGTCCGAGTTCATGAAAGCCAGCTCCACGTGGGTGATGTGAGACACGAGCTCTCTAGAGGGGACATTGGGGTGTTGGCTGCGGCTGGCGTTAGCGGTTCATGTCCGTTTACCTTGGCCACCTGCCGAAGCCACCTTGTGATGGGCCTTAGTGCCATTCACTCACCCAGTGAGATACATGACGCATTTGAGGCCGGACGCGGCCCTTTCGGCGGTCTCTTGGGCGGAGGCCATTGCCGCGGATTGGAGAAGGATGAGCAGGCCGCAGAGGGCCGTGAATAGTAGCTTCATGTTGGCGCCGACGTTGCAAGGGAGGATAGCTTCGAAATGTTCAAACTCTCGCAGAGCGCGGGCATGAGCTTGAAAATGAGGACGAGAGCGGAAGGCGAGAGGAAGAGAGAATATGTCGGGGTCGAAGTGTAGACAGTCATATAACAGGAGTCTTCCACACAACGCGACATGCAAAAGGATGGGCGAAACAATCGAAAACGAGAAACGGCAGGTGAATCAGCTGCCGGGTGTCCGATGTTTCTTCCTCAGCTTCCTCTTTTCGCCGAGATCTTCTCGGTGCAGGAACCCCGCTGTGGCGGATGCGCCATCCCACCGTGCTCCAGTGGTGTTTGGCGGCATTGGCGCACCTGTGTGCCAGGGGAAGGACCCCGCAACAATTAACCTTACCTACCTACCCGACCTACCTTAAAGTAAGGTTACGGGAGCTCTAATGACGCCTTCCAGGGCGGTAGAGGGAGGGCGGGTAGCCTGTAGGTATCCGTACCAACAACCTGCCCACCTTAAGATAAGGGCAAGGCACCTTGAAGAGGACCGGGAAGCGCGGCATGTACCATGAACCCCTCATTGTGTGTCTCATCTCAAACCTGGAAACCTCGAGACTCTTCCGACTAGGAGGATGCGCAGCGGTAAATGGCAAATAAATGACAAGCGAGAAATCGAAACAAGCTTCAATTCTTCAGCAAAGCCATTAATCAAGCCCGAAATCTCTGCACCGGACCAGCTGGTGACTTCACGACGGCTGTGGCGGGTGTTACGGTGTGTACCAACGAAGTGAACCCAACCAACTTGAAGGCAGCTTTGACGCTGGTGGACCTATTCATAGTTACTTACCAGCCAGCCTACCTATCATGATTGTCCAATATCTTGTCTGCTTGGAACCGGCAAGAAAAGAGACGCGAAACCGAACGCTCGGGTATTGTGCGTTTTGCAGCTTCCAAACATGTCGACCAGGTCCTCCCCGGTCTGCACTTCACCCTGGGCGGGATGGCGGTCTGCGGCTCGGTGAGAGCTCGAGTGGGGTACTCACACCTCGGTGAGTTCTTCACCTCAAAAATTTCGTTCCTGCTGCGCGTGTCTAAGTAAGCTGTCTCCAGCTTCGCCCAACTTTGTCCCAATCTCGAGCTGCAGCTCCTTGCCTCGACTTGGTTCCCTACGGCCTCATCCGCCCACCGCCACAGCTAATTTTTCGGCAGAAGAGCTACCGCGACCCAATTGATGCAGCAAACATGTTTGAAAACCTCTGCACCCTCCCCCTCTCCGCCGAGGTCTTCACCCAAGTCCTCCACCCAACCGAGCCGCTACTGACCGTTGGCTTGTCCACCGGCCACGTCGAAACCTTCCGTTTGCCATCCTCAGGCGACAACGAGTCCGATGCTTCTGATGATCCCGATACGAGCATAGCATCAAGTGGCCGGGGGGCTATCGACAGCGTCTGGCGCACGAGGCGCCACAAGGGAAGCTGCAGAGCCCTGGCCTACAGCCACGACGGTTCTGGTACGTGGCAATGCGCGCAATGGACTGCAAACATCAACGGGATACCCTCCCCGAAACCGTGGCTGACTTCTGTTCTTGAAATCGACAGCCCTCTACTCTGCTGGCACCGATGGCTTGATCAAGCACTTCTCCCCGACGACTGGCAAGGTCATCTCCAAGGTCGCCATCCCCTCCTCGAACAAGCAGGTCGATGCCCCGACCCTCATGCATGTTCTGAGCCCCCAAAGCCTCCTGCTCGGCTGCGATTCCGGAGCCATGCACATCTTTGACCTGCGAGACGGTGTCCCCTCGGCCAAGCCTGCGCAGACACACTTCCCTCACTCCGACTACGTCTCCGCCATCGTCCCGCTTCCTCCTTCCGCCGAGAGCACCTCTGGCTTCTCGAAACAATGGGTTTCTATTGGAGGCACCACACTCGCCGTGACCGATGTGCGCAGAGGCGTCCTCGTCCGCTCCGACGACCAAGAAGACGAATTGCTATCCGCCGCCTATGTCCCCGGCCTCGGCCCCAAGAACAACAGGAACAACGGCATCGTCGCTGTTGGTTCCGGCTCCGGAGTCGTCACGGTCTGGGATAAGGGCGCGTGGGATGACCAGCAGGAGCGCATCATTGTCGACGGTGGGAAGAGTGGTGGCGAGAGTCTAGACGCCATTGCATTGGTCCCTGAAGAGCTTGGGCTGGGAAAGAAGCTGGTCGTCGGCCTCGGGGACGGCAGCCTCAGGGTAGTTGATTTGGTCTCCAGGGAAGTCGACAAGTCCTTGAATCTGCGACACGATGATGTTGAAGGCGTCATCTCTGTTGCTTTCGACTCCCAGAACCGCTTGATAACGGCTGGCGGCAAGACGGTGAAGGTATGGGAGGAGTTGTCGGAGCTTCAGGGCGATGCAGAAGGCAGTGACGACGACAGCGACAGCGACAGCGGTAGCGGCGATGAGCCCTCTGGCAAGCATCGGGCAGACAGTGACAGCGACGATGATAGTGATAGTGACGACGATTCAAAGCGTCGAAACAAGCGCCAGAACACGGGAGCCGACAAGCTTGGCCCCATGGGCGCGCACGGCATCCTAGGCTTTGATGGTTTGGACTAGATTGCCATATTATATCTGTTTAGTGATACCCTCCAGTGCCATCTAGGAAAAAGGATGAGCACCAATGGAACCATTTCAACTCTGTTGCATCTTGATCCTGCCGTGACTACTACCGGCGATTTGGAGTCTCTCAAGATCTGCGCCTCTCATCTGAAAAGGACGAGCATACCCTGGCGGCTGATGGCTTCACCACAAACATGAAAAGCCTTGACACTGTGTGGGAAAAGTACCTTTGCCCACTTTGCGGCCCAGCTGTCGATTGCCGATCTCGAACGCCGGGGCCGGGCCTTGGGTTACCTCCGCAGCGGCCGGACCCCGCTCCCCGCCGATGACGAACAACTGACAGCATTGACGGCAAGCTGCCTCATTAAACGCCAGGAACTTTTATCTTCCTTCATAACCTTCACCTGATATCACGTTTACAGTGATAGGCGCTGGACAGCCACCATACGCCATGGATGCCATCAATGCCTTTGTGTTTAGCATCGTCACCCCCAAGATCTTCTTCGGACCTGGTACCGTCAACGAGCTGCCCGGCGAGCTTTTGTCCCGCAAGCTTTCAAAGCCTCTCATCATCTGCTCGCCTTCTAGGACTTCCCTGGCCAAGAAAATACGGGACAACTTGGTTAAGGCAGGCTTCTCGGACGTAGAGATCCTCGACACCGCCATTGTCCATAACCCGAGCGACATCATCGGTCCCGCCGTTAATCGTGCAAAAGACCGCGATGTTCTCGTATCAGTCGGGGGCGGCAGTGCCGTCGGCCTAGGAAAGGCAATCGCTCTTCGCACCGACATGCCGCAAGTGGCTATTCCGACGACGTATTCGGGCTCTGAGATGACGCCCATCCTTGGGGAAACGAAGGATGGCAAGAAGACGTCAACAACGGACCCCAAGATTCTGCCCAAGGTGGTCATCTACGACGTCGACCTAACCATGGATCTGCCGGTAAAAGTCAGCGGCCCAAGTGGCCTCAACGCCATGGCTCACTCATGTAGGCCGTCCGTCTTTTGACAATACCTGAATTGCCAACTGACATATCGTCCAGTTGAAGCATTATACTCCCGCCAGGCCAACCCGTTGACAGACCACTTTGCCTTGGAGTCCATCAGGGCGCTGTCCAATGCCCTACCAGTGATCGTATCTGACCCCTCCTCGGTCGAGGCGCGTACCTCGGCTCTCTACGGTGCATTCCTGGCCGGTTTGTTGGCGGGAGCAACCGGCATCGCCCTACAGCACAAGCTGGCTCACGCAGCCGGCGGCACTCTGAATCTTCCTCATGCCGAGACGCATTCAATATTCCTTCCCCACAGTATGGCGTTCAACGCGCAAGCCTTTCCCGAGGCCACCAGGACCAAGATTTCCTCCGCTCTTGGGCAGAGTACGGAAGACTCACTTTCGGGCATCGTAGCCGGTCTAAATCAGTTGCTTCGAATCTTGAATATCCCTACGGGTCTCAAAGATATCGGCATGCAGGAGAGTGACATTGATCGCGTTGCTGATGTCGCATCTGAAAAGCCATATTGGAACCCCCGTCCTCTGGAGAAGGCCGCGATCCGTGAAATCATCCGCAGGGCGTGGGTTGGGGAGCGGGCAAAGACCAATCTTTAGACTAGACTGAATTGGATTGCTTCTATTTGTCTTTCTTCTTCCGCCGTCTACATTGTTTACGCGCCGGGTCTCGAGTAGTCCAACGTTCTTACTCGCTTCCATGTCTCCCGCACTACTCTTTCCTGTGCTTGCCGTGCCGTCTCCGTCTCGGTCGATCCTGCGGGTCTGCGCAGTGTTAGCGATGTCTACCATTTCATTCGGTGGCTCGACGAACCGAATAGCGAGGTAAAGTCTGCCGCCGAGCTTCGCTTCCGGGATGACGCTCGTGTCTTCAGGAGGGTTAGCTATCGTCACCAGACCTCCGGCCTCCTCGAGAATCGCGAATCCTGCGGCAACGTCCCTGCGGCAGTTGCGTCAGTGTTTATGTCTGAGTGAGGAAGTGGTAGACGGGTCTGCTCACCATTCCCAGCATCCGCCCTCCCACCAAATGTCGAATGATCCCATTGCTGTGTATGCCAGATCCAAAGTGGCACTGTATTATCAGCGATTGTGCTCAATCGGACTATTGATCCATGCAATAGATGTGGTGGAACTTACCTCCCCAAGCTCCTCATGCCATGCACCATGCCACCCTTGCCGCCTCGCCCCTTACGCTCGGCAGCCATGTTCATAAAGCTTTCGACCTTGCGGTGCATGTTGCCGTCCGGCATGTCTCGACGGTCCTTTCCCCACTCGCAGGAGAAGACGCAGCCGCTGGGCGCATTGGCGGGCAGCGGGTTCAGAACGAGCGGCAGCCTCTGTGTCTCGTTCATCCACGCGCCATGTCCCTTGAGCGACGAGAAGGTCTGGTTCAAAAAAGGCGCATTGATGACGCCAATGACGGGCTTGCCCTTGATGGCGAAGCCGATGGAGACGCAGAACATCGGAAACAGGTGGGTGAAGTTGACGGTGCCGTCGAGGGGGTCGACGATCCATGTCGGCCGTTCGTCGACGAGATAATCACGCGATGCGCCGGCCGAATATGTCTCTTCGCCGAGGAAGCTGCAGGCTTGTCAACATTGAACTGTCCGCAACCTTGTGAAGCCTAGGTGAGCAGGTGAGTCGACTCACTTGTGGCTGGGATACTTCTTCGCGACGGAAGTATGGATGAAGGCTTCGACTTCTAGTAGTGGGCACCATGCCGTCAGCAAGAAACAAGTCACCTCAACGCGCGCATTGGACTCCGGGCAAACGTCGAGGAAACGGACCTGTGTCTGTTTTGGTGACCAAATCGACCGAATTGTCCTTTTCTTTGAATGCCTGCGTCTCTCCTCCGGATCCCCATCTTGACTTGGCCGCCGTCATGAGCAGCTCTCCCGCCTCTTTGCCCAATTGGACAGCAAAGTCGTAGATTTCGCGGAGCTCGGCGTCACTAATATCGGCCATTTTGACGGTTTCTGTGAATTGCACTGCCTTCAATAGTAGACGAGCTGTACGTAGAAAAAGGTGTGAAGGGCACAAATCAACAATGGAAGAGCCAGACCAGAGACAGAGAGTGTGTGAAACTTGGAGAGAGCACGAGGCAACGAGAAGAGCTGTCCGCAGTCGGCATCGGGCTCAGTCTGCGTTATCAGGGAAATCGGTGGTGACTCGACTGCTGGGCCGCCGCCAACCGAAGAATGGCCACTGCGGGAGCACTGCGGATGGCGTCCGGTGCTCTATCAGCGGGGAATCTCCGCATAGGACCCCGCCTAAAGAGCCCAAGAATAGTCCCCTGGGCCCCCTAGAGGCGAAGGAACGCGGCCAAATGGCCCATTAATTACTAAGGCTGGTGGACATCCGAGTCAGGAGGGGCACTCACTAACCAGGCAGAGAAAAGAATCCTTCCAGGATGGAAAAGACGGAGACAAACGCAGAGAGGCAGAAGTTCAGTGCTGTGTGAAATCTCGCGTTGGTTCATCTACAAGCGTCTAAGACCTGGCGAAGCTCTCATATGTGAGGACACTGACAAGTTGACAAGCTGCCAAGAAAAAAGACTCATCACATTTCAGAACCACGCGCGGAAACCGATCAAAAGTGACTGACTTCATCGGAATCTCACAAATCGGTCTCATTTCGAGGCTAACGCATGTTGAGACTGATTCGTTGTATCCTCCAGCTGCATCGAGAACATGAGATGGTTCTTCAGTACACGCGCGAACTTGAAGGACAGCTTTCGATAGTCACGTCGAGATGAGTACAGATCATGAGCCAGCAATCAGAGAGGGTATTCACACATCAAATCTCTGTAAACGGAAAGGCCTCGGCTGCCTTTTGTGATCTGTAGATTCCACAGAGACACACAGTCGCCATAACATACTTGGAGTCAAGTTGGAGTCAAGTTGGAGTCAAGGTAAGTCTGAAGACTTTAAAATGATTACTGGTTCCCTGAAAGAAAAAGAAACAGTTGTGTAATACTGTACAATCGCTATGCAAAATGTTCATTCTTCATGCCGTTTTCCTTCCTCATAGTGACGCCGTGACCTGTGCTGATGGCTCTTCCACTTTCAGCTTCATATCTCTTACGAGCTTGGCCCAGGCGACAGCTCCTCTCTTCGCCAACTCCTCGGGGACACCGTGGTCCTCCTCTGACATCCTCCTGTTGAACAGCTCAAAGCTGACCCAACCCTCAAACCCGAGGCCCTGGAAAACAGCGGCGCAAAGTTCCCGGACGGGAAGATACGCCCCTCTTGAATATTCGCCATAAAATAGACGGCAGTTCCTTGACCAAGACATGCGGTGCGGCTGCTCGGCGTTGTAATACGGGTGAGTTTCGCAGATGGGTTCGGCAAGGCGCTCAGCATCGACGACCTGCACGTAGATGATCTTGGAGACATCAACAGTCGTGAGCAACCGTTGAATAGAATCCTTAACAGCTTGTTCGGCATCGACGACCTTTCCGGATGCTGCTGTGGGATCCGCAAAGATGCGGCCAGCAATGTTGAACGTATCGAGGCACATGCCAAAGTTGGGCCGATCAACCCGCTGGACCACCTCCCAGCAGGTCTCCCAAACGTCGACTCTCGTTCCCCATGAGAGAGACTCATAGGAGAATTGGATAGGAGGGTTGGATGCAGCACCAATATCTGCCACTTCAGCCAGGTCGGCAATGTGAAGTTCAAGATCCTCAGACACCTGCTCTGCGGGCAAGACGTTGCTGGGGATCTGAATCAAATCTGTGCCGAGGACGTGGGCTAGCTGGATCCAAACACGCAATTCCTCGATGCGGCGGGCGTGCTGCTCACGGTCGATGAGTCCCTCGAAGTGTTGAAAGGGCTGAAGGCAGATGATTTCGATGTTGCGGACGTCGCACGTCCTCTTGACGATGCCAGCAGCGGCGACTTGGTTGTCGATCGAGGCAGCGCCACCAGGCAACTGCTCGGCGACGTCCATTAGATCTTCGTGCCAGAGCTCAATGCCCTGGTAGCCATACTTGGCGGCCATATCCATCTTGTGCTCAAAGCTGTGGCCTGCCCAGCATCTGCCGAGCGACATTGTGCTGATTCCTAACCGAGAAGGCATGGTGGGCAAGATGTGAGGCTGTTGACGAAAGAATAGCAAGGGTATCTAGTGCGGATGGAATGTATAGGCAAGACAAAGGCGATTGGATTTGACGAGGTGAAAGATATTGTTATGGTATTGAAGAATCGTAGGAAGGACCTGGGAGAAGGGATGGAAAGAGTATCTGGGCCTAAAGAGGTGGACGTCCACTGGTATACATTTGCCCTCGGCAACAGGGGATCGGGAAGATTATTTGCAGCTCTCGATTCCGGTATCTAAGCAGAATGGCAATGACCGACCCATACGGGATACGGGAACTCTGTCGCAGAGCACGGTAGGCAGCTTTGCCCAATGATCTCGTCTGCTTCCGTCCTGTCCCCGGGTCACACCGGACGACCGAGGGGCGATGGAGGGAGGAGGAGGAAAGTCATTCACCCGCTACCTACCCCATCTTATCGGCGTCAGATGTTTGCAAGCATATCAATCTGGGGATTTCTGGGGCGTCCGAGGGTAGCCGGGCCAATCTTTGTGACGCTCTGCCGCATGTCTACACACCTCGAGTCTGAGGTAGGGAGATGTACGGCGCCCAGCATCAAGTGCGGTAGTTGAATGGAGGCGTGGGAAGGTAGACTGACGGCTGGTGACGTTGATCTTGTCAGGCGCCACCGGTTGCCGGGAAGAATACTTCTCCAGTTTTGAGGATAAATATTTTCCAGACTAGCACTCGGATGAGTGGGAGCACCAAGCGAACAAGGGGGAGGGGGCTGGCGTCTTTGGTGTGGTATGCCCACCATTCCAAGGCCCTAGACCGGCACTTCTTACTGGCTGTTCGCTGGAGAGTTCTTTGCCGGAAGTCCCTCTCAAAAATCGCCGCAAGGTGCCAATTGGGGAAAGCCCTGATACGGATTCTATGCGATCTCCAGAAGCCCGTTCCAGTGCCACGGACTTTTCCCCGTGTTCCGTAAGAATGATTAATTCGATACAACCATCGTTAGACCGACGAGACTCCATTTGTAGACAAGAAGAAGGGAAGAAGAGCGAGGCACAAAAAGTGGCTTCCCTCAGGCCCCATTTTCCCGCATTTTCCGTGACTGGCAATTCCCACCGGATTTTAGACTAAAAGAGCCCTGGTTTTCTCCATTTGCTGCAACTTGCCATAACGCCATTCCTACCGCTCTTCAGTTGCACGGAAGTCCTACAGATTCCATTCGAAACTACCAAACAGCCTGGAGACAAGAGACAGACAATCCTTAATCACACTCCAGTCTTCCTTTCTTACCCTCAGCCAACTCATATCCACCAACAATGGCCAGTGCCACTCCTATCGAGCAGGTGGAAGACCCCATTGCGGCCAAAATCGAGCAACTTGATCGCCATGGTTACCTATTTGGCCAAAAAATCACACACTCCCTGTCACCACTTCTGCACACCACCATCTACGAGGGCATTGGCCTGAAATGGGAGCAAATGAGACTGGACTCAGCAGACCTGCCGCTGTTCTTGGAACTCATCAAGCACCCCAAATGCTACGGCAGCGCAGT